AGCGAAGACCCTGATCTGGTGGTAACCGCCGCGTAGGTCAATCTTCGAGAAGTAGCGAGCGCCGCGAAGTTGGTCGAGGAGGTCGTCGGTGCGTGGGATGGGATAGCGAGATTTTATGGTAACCCGGTTGAGCGCGCGATAGTCGATGCACATGCGAATGCCGCCGTCCTTCTTCGGTGTGAACAGGATCGGCGCGGCAAAGGGCGAAGTACTGGGTCGGATGGAGTCCTTCTCCAACAGTGACTCAAGTTGACTTCGAAGCTCCGCGAGTTCGGGCTGAGTCAACCGCCACTGAGTGCGAACAGTCGGCTGCGCGCCGGGCTCCAGCTGGATTTTGTGGTCCTCGGGGCGTTCGGGTGGTAGTCCAGGTGGCAGGTCGTCGGGGAAGATGTCGGGGTATTGTCGAATCAGCTCCGCTAAATCAGGTGGTACAGCTGCGCACAGCTTCTCGATGTCGTTTCCGTCGGTGTCGGCTGCCAACTCGCGCAAGCATACGGCGAACAGTTGCGCACCCCTGTTGACGTGGCGTGTAATAGTGATGGCTTTGACGCATGTAGACTCGATGCAGTCCGGAGTCCACGCGGGCAGAGTAATCAGCTTCCCGTCCTTGCTGATGCTGCACGATCCCGTCGTCCAATCGATTACCGGGTTGTGCCGTCGCAGCCAGTCGCATCCCAGGAGCACGTCGCATCCGTCCAACGTCGTCGCGAGAAACTTCATGCTGAAGCCGAAATTGTCGCCGCACTCAATCCGCACCGTCCGTGTTTCTTCCAAAATCGCCAGAGGCGTCCCATCCACGAGGCGGGCGTCAATTTCGGGCAGACACCTGTCCAGCTGCAACTTGCATTTTTTTGCTGTCGCCAGATTGAAGAGGCTATGGCTAGCCCCGCCATCGACGAACATTTTAATTTTTTTTTTTCTTAACAACCGTGCCAACAACCAGCACAGGGTGATCCACATGTTCACCCCCGTTATTCGTCCGAGTGCGATCGATTGCATGAATCGGAACCACGACTCGGTGGGGATGGTGGGGTTCGGGCGACAGAGCACAGTCAGTAAGGGGCCCGTCTGTTACTGACTCTTCCCATTTCCCGGCTCCTTCCCGTCGTTCCTCTTTCCCTGCGTCCTGTCGGGGCAGTCTTTATACATGTGGCCCGGCTTCCCGCACTTAAAACACAACCCTGTAAAAGGGCGGTCTGGCGCATGGACTCCGTTAATCGTGGCCCGCTGGGTCTGTCCACGAAATCGGTTTCCCTCCCGAGAACTCGATCTCGCCCACTGCATCAGCGCGTCTGTGCTCTCGGCCAATCGGACGGCTTCGTTGAATGTTGTCGGGCGGTTTCGGCGCACCTCGAACTGTATCTCGTACTTGAGGCCGCTGATGTATTTATCCAACCGCTCCGCCTCCGCCATGTCGTCCACTTGGTCCGCGAGCGCCATAAACGACGCCGTGTAGTCTTGAACAGAAGCCAACTGTGACCAGGTACGCAGCTTCATGCGAGCGTGTTCCGAGGCGGATACATGCTCGAAACGCTCTCGTAAGGCTGCGCCCCACTGCTTCCACGTGCGAATTGTGGCCACACCGAATATCGATGATGCCCTCCCAATAGCAGAGTCCGAAGTCCCGTCTACCGCATATGTCACACCTGTCGGGGTCCCCGTGTCCAAGGTTCGTCGCCACCACTCAAGCGCCGGGCCTCGCAGAAGCGATACCGCGTAATTAATACGCGTGGCGTCGTCGTTGACGTTCGCTGCAGTGAAGAACACCTCCACGCCGAACAACCACCCCTTAACAGTAGTGTTCTTGTCGGTAGGGTTGAACGGGGGCGGGCTCGTAGGCTTTATCTTGATTGTTGTCACTGCAACTGTTGTCGCTGCCGCCGCTCGCTGCCTATCTTCTTCTTCGAAGCCGCGTGTGAGCTCCTCCAACGGATTGCCGCTCACCGCTTGACCAGTGCTCTCGCCTTCTTCAGCGGGCGACTCCTGGCGCGCTTCACCTCGCGCCTGGCGTAGCTCGTTGTTTTCTTCACGTAGTCTCTCCACCTCTGTCGTTAACGCCTTCATGCCTGCCGACATCTCCGCCACTTGCTGCATCAACGCGTCAAATGCCGCCTGATCCATGAGTCGCAAGCTACGTCTAGTAGGCAAGTGGGTATCCGTGACTATCCGGCAACAGTGCAAGCGCAAAAGCTATCGGGGTCGGGCAAGTTTAATTTAATAAACTTTGCAACCAACCGCTTTGCAGCCCACCGTACCAGTCACACCCGTGCCACTAAACTACCCTGGAAAAGCGGGGTGAACTAGGAAAGTAGCTCTGATACCAGGTGTTATGAGTTGTCAAACAGAGTTGCGCGGAATAACGAATAACGAGGCTGTGACTCAATGAATTGACGATACAATGAAAGACATGCGATTATATAGCGAGGCAACCTAACTAGGCGGGAACCTCGGGAACACGAGGTTGAGTGCAGGTTGGGCAAAGGAAAGCCGAAGGCGACGCGAGGTTGCTTCGGCAGCAAGCAAAGCGGCCGAACGTGCACTTCCGAAAGTTGGGGTTGTACGCGGTTGAGTAAACCCCAGTAAGGAAAAAGGGTTTTTCCCTACAACCACGAAATGCAGAATCACTTATACGCACATGGGGGCTCAACCGGGCATCATGTGTATGTCTGTTCATGTGTACAACGAACTGGTGGGACTTCACTAAGAGCGTGTTACACCCAAGCAAAGATTGCTGCATTTTGAGGATCACGTAGGCGATCCTTACAGAACAGTGTCATACCTACCACTGTACAGTAATCACTGTGTCAGGTGATGTACCAACAGAGGAAGGATCGAAATCACGAGAGATCGTGATACCCGATCTTGGTGTTTTTTGGGAGATCGTGGTGACTGCCAATCTCTCGGTGATCCTTGCATCTTTGTACCAAAGACAAGGTGATCCTTGATGACGAAACTTTTGTTGTCGTGAACTGCTGTAACAAAATCGCGACTAATCAGAGCATTCTTTTGATGAAGTTCGAACCAATAAAGCGGTTGATTTCGGATCAGTAACGCAGTCAACGTGGTCAACAAAAATATCCGACGATCGCGACTGTCGCGTCGTTTCAGGCGACGTCGCCTGGTCCTGGAGGATCACCATTGCAAATTTGCAGATGGTACACCAACAAGGATTGTGATGTGCACCAAAAATTGTTGTTTTGCCACTCGTAATCCTAGGGTTGGGGTTATGGTGATCTTAGCTACGTGATCCTTGAGATTAGGGCAGGTGTAACACGCTCTAACTGTGATGTCGGTGGCTGGTGGTGGTAAACCACACCTTCCCCAGACTAACCGCGTTGCGTAAAGGCAGCATTCAGCTTTGCTGACAAGACAGAGTTCAGGGGATTCCAACAATGTTCATGTGTCTTGAACAATGTTCAGGAATGCTTAGTGCCTTCCAAGGAATACAGAGCACAAGTCTCTCGGGTCAGTCATTATTCAATTTGTTTGGTACACTTCAGCTTTCAAGACCATTTTTCTAGTTCGAGGACCTGACAAGGGTTCGAAATCTCTCAGGGGCAGAAGGGAAAATCATATATATATTTTTCCGAAAAAATGAAGAAATTTTCAACGCCAATCCCTCCCACAGACGACCTTGTTGGGCACGTGATCGACGAGACAAATGGCATGTTCCTAACGGCCCTTTGGCCACTAGGCGCGGGTTCAACTAGGGAACAGATGAGTACAATTGATATTCATTACAGGTAGATAGGGTGGCCGAGCTCCTTAGAGTCATTACAAGCATTTTACGTCAGTGGAGAAATAAAATTGACTCCAACGGTGGTCTTAGGTGCATTTTGGCATAGCATAAAACAATTATTGAGCTATAACAAGCCATTTAGCATCCACAGTTCCTTCTTTCTCTCCGCATGCTGTTTTCTCAATCTGTTATGTAATTTTAAATGGAAACAAATTAGAGGAGGAAGTGTAAACAAGAATATAAACAATAATTAAAATCGTCTAGTCCATGCTCTGATTTATTTTGCAATCTCTGTTACTGGCTATATCTTATAGGTTACAATTATATTTTTCCACTGCCTCTATAAGATGAGACGTATGGAAAGTTCAACCGTATGAAAACTAACATATACAATTGTAGGAAAAAAGAGGGGAATTTGAGCCACATACGTCATACTTTTCATTTATCTGGTGAAGCACATAAATTCGTTTCAGTCTGATTTTAATATGCTATACCCTAATGCTTACTTAACCCTCCCCTTTGAACAGATGCCCTGCCACTCGATAGGAACAATGGTCGACATTCACGAGTAACGGCCCAAACATTACAAGCCCTAGGAGTAATGTTTCATATTAATTAAGTTATTCAAGTGTTCCAGACAAAACATGTTGGGCCACCCACAGTTTTGGCTACAGTAGTTTAGTTGGTAACCATGGTACTACAATCAGCCCCATTTGGTCCCTGAATGTCACCAGTGCGCGAGAGGAGCCATGTCCAACATGGATAGGCAAAGTGAAACGGGTATAGGGTGTATCAAGTCCTATCGTGATGATGTCTATTTTCCGTTACACCCACCCACTTTGCGCAGGTCAAAAGTTGCTCCCATCCCATCCACGTTGCACAGTTCAAATGTTTTTTCCAGGCCAGGTTGAAGCGAAGGTGCGGAATCATCGAATCTGGAAAGGCGAATCGCGAATCGCGAACCGCGAAATGCCAACACCTCCCTCCAGCCACCACCTCCAACCTCTGATCACTCCAACACAACCTTCAAACTCCAACCCTCAAGTACATGTGGGCTACTGTGATCACTCTAACCCTTAGTACTCGGTCAGTCATCACAAGCGTCGATACACCCGATTCAGCTTTATACCTGTCTCGTGGCACTCCCTTTCCGTGAGTCACGATGGCGCCACGTCTTTCCAGTCTTCCCATATTTCTAATCGTTCTCTCCATTGCAATCGCCACAACCCCAGCCCTTGCGGCTCGGCGCATAGCAGCTCCCATGGTGACGTTGCTGGAGAAGGCTATCAAAGCGCGAGCTCTCGCCGACAAAGCCGCCGCAGCAGCCGCTGAAGCCGAGGCGATCGCGGAGCAGCGCAGAAAAGACGAGGCGGCGGCGCTCGCCGACCTCAACGCCGCCACAGCCGCCGCGGACGCCGCCGCCGCCGCGCTCACCGCCGCGAACGTCAACGCGACGTCCGCGGCCGCGGAGAAGGAAAACGCGAAGAAATCTCTCGAAGCCGCAAAGAAGCAGCTCGACCAACTGAAGAAAGCCCGCGAAAGCAAGTCGAAGGGCGGCGCGAAACAGAAGACCGACGCGAAAGCCGCGGCGGCGAAGGTAATCGAAGCGCAGAAGAAGCTAGACAAGGTAAATGCGGAAAAAGCCAAGCAGGAGAAGATCGCGGCGGACGCGAAAGCAGCGGCCGACGCGGCGGAGCAAGAGGCGGCGAAGAAGCCGGGCGACAAGGGGGCGGCGGACAAGGCGAAGAAAGCTGCCGAGGCCGCGAAGAAAGCCCAGGAAAAGGCCGACGCGCTCGCGAAGGAGGCTCTCGCGGCGGAGCAGGCGCTAGCGGCGGCGCAGAAGGAGCAGAGCGACGCGAGCGCCGCGGGTGGCACGAGCGCGCCGACGGACGAGGAGCTGAAGAAGGCGGATAAGGTGGCGCAAGCGGCGGAAAAAGCGCAAGAGGCGGAGGCGGCGCAGAAGGCGGCGGAGGCCAGCGCGAAGGACGCGGAGAAAGCGCTGCAGAGAGCGCTCGTGGCAGTCAAGCAGGCGCGCGCGGCGTGGAAGAACAAGAACGCGCTGCGACTAGCCGCGGAGAAGAAGGCCGCGCAGAAGGCGGCTATTGCAGCTGCGTTTGATGCCAAGGCGGACGCTGCGGAACGTGCTGCTGGCATCGCTGCCCCTCCCTCCGCGCCCGCATCCCAACCCGCGCCCGCCTCGCAACCCGCACCTGGGTCCACACCTGCTCCTGCGTCGCGCCCTGCTCCCAGTTCTACCACTTCGCCCTAGAGAACTGATAGCTGATGCTTTACCGTTCCTTCAAGTGAACATGCCAATAGATGGTAGCTTCTCTTGGCTGGTAGGAGAGTTGTAGATGTTAATATATATAATATGTATTATATTCATAAATAAAACAATCACGATACTATGCAGTTCTGTGTGACCGGAGGGAGAGGTACTATATTCAAGGGAAAATATGTCAATGGTAACAAACATGGGGCACTGTAACGCGTACGGTAACGATTTCAACGCGTTTGGTAACTCGCTTAACGCGTTTGGTAACTTGCTTAACACGTTTAGTCACTCGCTTAACACATTTGGTAACTCTACACTAGCAGCCCATCACGCGAATGGTAACTAAATGAAATTCCCGCCTAAATGAGCCTAAGAAAAATGAATTTATCGAGTTGGAAAGCTTTTACGCACAGTATTATCCATTTGAACAAAGTCCCGCCGCGAATTTGAAGGACCCCGTTTGTTCTAATACCACAGACCACAAAGATTTAGGGCCATTTTATATATATATGAGCTCGTACAAAAATGGTTAAATTCTAAAATTTTATAGCATGGCTTGCGAACTTGCAAAACGATAAAAAAAAATCCGAAAGGACCTTGGGAATTTTACCGTTTATAATTAATGCAACGTTGGAGAATTTTTGCACATGGGAAAAAACACTCCTCTTGAAAATTAAATGTTTCGTATTTCAAATAAAGAACCATAAACGCCTGGTCGCAAGAAGTTTAAGTTTGTTTCTCTCAGATTTATCTGCCATTTGAAAGGAGTATAGATTTGTTTGCCCCGGCTGCACGATAGAAAAAAGTACTTAAGTTTGCGGAAGGAGCGCCAGAATTTTTATTATGTATGAACAGATATTTTCACAACACTTCTGTTTTTGCAATAATTTTGAAAATCGGAAAGTGTGTCAGGATTTCGGAGAGTGTGTCAGAATTTCGGAAAACAGTGTCAGAATTTCGGAGAGTGTGTCAGAGGTTCCTGCTTCAGAATTCGTCAAATTTTTCTGACGCGAGCGGGAAAAACCAGAATCAGGCTCAATTTCGGCGGGAATTTCATGTAGTTACCATTCGCGTGATGGGCTGCTAGTGTAGAGTTACCAAATGTGTTACGCGAGTGACCAAACGTGTTAAGTGAGTTACCAAACGCGTTAAGCGAGTTACCAAACGCGTTGAAATCGTTACCGTACGCGTTACAGTGCCCCATGTTTGTTACCATTGACATATTTTCCCTATATTCAATCAGTGCTACACTTAAAGCCAGCAGCTAAAATAGTGACCCCCCCTTCTAGTTGGGTCCACTTGAAAGCAAAAGTTTGTTCGGAGCGTTTTGTTAGGGGCAGAGGGAGAATGGGGAGAGGGTGGGTGGTGCGGGGAAGGGACGCAATTAGAATTGTGCTGAATGGGTTTTCTATGATTTACTGGACTGGACTATAGAATCTTGCTTTGTGAATAAACTGCTAATACCGTATTTGATGACGCATAGCATACAGGCCGAACAGAACTGATCCCATGATAAAGTGTAGCTTTGACGGAGGCATGGCATACAGGCCAGGCTTCATATAGGAAGAGCATGGGCGGTCAATCTATGCCTGTGATTTGCCTGCCACGTGGAAAGGAAGGCAGGATGCAAGGAGAAAGGGTGGAGGGCAAGAGAAGAGAAGTCTTGGGTTACACAGAACCAGGGCAAAGGATGGGTAAGAGGAGGCAGCACAGAAAAAGCTAGTGGGAGAAATGGGGTACGGAAGTGGTGTGACATGAGGTGTGGCATGGGGAAAGTGTGGCAGGGGGAAGGTGCGGCATGGGGGAGATGAAAGGGAGAAACCCAATTGTGAGGCTGTGGCAGTGCTGCTGCAATACAATACCTCTTCATTGGCTCCTGCTGCCATCTCCACTAGCGATGACTCTCTCGCCAACATGCTGCCAGTACCATGGATGATTGGTCACATGCAATGCACATGCACATGCAGGAACATGCTCACACAGACAAATGCATACGCATCCACACGCACATATCATGCACACATACACAGGCAGTAACATATGCACACAGGCCCACACAAATTGTATGGGAAGAGAAGGACTAATACAGAGCAGAAGACGGGGCGGAGACTATTGAAAAATCCAAAAATCAAAGGAGTGCAAGCAAGCAGCATTTGTCAAAGATAAACAGCCGTGCATGCAGCACACAGTCGTGCATGCAGCACACAGCCGTGCATGCAGCACACAGCTGTGCATGCAGCACACACACAGCACATACGATCTGGGAGAGAGCGAGTGGTAAGCCGGTGACCCGTTCACATGAGCCTTGTTTTGAGGCGCCTCAAAAACAGTGCATGCAGCACACACACAGCACGTACGATCTGGGAGAAAGCGAGTGGTAAGCCGGTGACCCGTTCACATGCATGCCCCCCGCGCCCTTGCTCCCCCCCACCCGCCCATCGCCCCCCTCCCAGTCCTCCACGTCACTGTCGTTGTCCTTGTGCCGTGGTGCCTTGGGCGGCATGGCTGAGAAGAACTGTTAAGGGGGGGAGGAGAAGGGAGGAGAGAGGGTCGGGGAGGGGGGCAGGAGGTTGTGAGGACCCCAGTCCTCCACATCACTGTCGTTGTCCTTGTGCCGCGGCGCCTTGGGCGGCATGGCTGAGAAGAACTGTGGGAAGGAGAGAGGGGAGATGAACCGGGGAGGGGGCAGGAAGTTGTGAGGAGTGGTATGCCGGTGACCCTTGTGAGGAGCCCCCTCCTCCACATCACTGTCATAATCCTTGTGCCGTGGCGCCTTGGGCGGCATGGCTGAGAAGAACTGGGAGAGAGAGGGGGGGGGGGGGGGGAGAGGAAAGGGAAGGTGGAAGGGAATGAAAGAGAGGCAGGAGGATGATGTGAGGAACCTTGAAGCTAGACTCAATGTCATCGTCCTTGTGCCGTGGTGCGTTGGCCGAGTCCTTGGCATGGCCGAGAAGAACTGGGAGAGGGGGAGAGAGTGGGACGGGGAGGGAGGTGGAGGGAAGGGTGGGAAGGAGAGGAAGGAATGGCGAACGGCACAGTAAGCAATGACCTGGCATGGCATGGCATGGAATGGCATGGCATGCTACGCGTGCGCACCTGGTGCATGGAGATGAGGACCACGGAGATGCCTAGGGTGAAGTTAATGGAGAGCGTGTGGCCGAAGAGCATTGCCTTTTGGACCAGCAGATGCGGACGCAATGCCTTTTGGACCGGGTCAGAACAGAAGGGCGTTGGGGAGGCAGTGCGATGCATGTGCGCACCTGGTGCATGGAGATGAGGACCACGGAGACGCCCAAGGCGAAGTTGATGGAGAGCGTGTGGCCGAAGAGAATGGCGGATGCAATGCCTGTGAATATGGTGGCGATGGTGGATGAATACTTCTTCAGTATCGTGTCTGCGCAGACCAGACGTTAAAGGGGGAAGGAAAGGGGAATGGAGGGGTGTGGGAGAGGGGAGGGGGGGGGGGGAAGAGGGAGGGGGGAAGAGAGGGGGGTGGGGGGGTGGGGGGGAGGGGAGGAAGGGAGAGGAAAAAGCATGACACAGCATCATACGATTCAGCATGGCACGAGGCACAGTGTGATGTGGTACAATGCGGCAAACAAGGAGAGCAGGCGCAAAGGGTGAGGTATGAGGCAAAAGGCACGAGGCGGTGTGGTGTGACGGACCAGCGTATTTGAAGAAGAAGGAGGAGAGGATGCCCTGCACGGCGTTGTTGGCAATAAGCACTGCCGTGGCCCGTGAGTTTGCGTTTGAGGCGCCTCAAAAGTAGGCATGAGGCGTGAGGCGTGAGGCATTACGGACCAGCGTATTTGAAGAAGAAGGAGGAGAGGATGCCCTGCATGGCGTTGTTGGCAATAAGCACTGCCGTGGCCCGCGAGTGCCCCTGCAAGATGTTCAACGATGCCATGTCCCCGCCTGCACGCATAGAATGAGTGGGTTGGTTTGTGGCACGGGCGACGAAGGGAGAAAGGGGGTGTGATGCGCACTGCTGTGGCCCGTGAGTGCCCCTGCAGGATGTTGAGCGATGCCATGTCCCCACCTGGGTGGTGTACGATTGTGGCAAGGATAAGGGAGGGCAGAAGGGGGCATGTTGGCGATGAGCCCTGCTGTGGCCCGTGAGTGCCCCTGCAGGATGTTTAACGATGCCATGTCCCCGCCTGCACCCATAGTGGAAGCGTGGTGGGATATGGTGGGTGGGATGATGGATGGATGGAGTGGTGGGACAAATGGGAGGCTTGCGGTATGGTCATTGCCGAGAGTGCAATCTTCATCCTCACGCATGGGGCTCTCTCTCGGCAATTACTTACCATACCGCAAGCCTCCGCAATATTCATTCTAGGCATCACGCACTCTCGGCAATTACTTACCATACCGCAAGCCTCCGCAACCTTCATCCTGGGCATGAGGCTGTGTGCGTGTGACCAACAGACAACGCACCTCGTGCAATGAAGACTCCCAGGAGGAAGATGAGGTTGAAGAGAAGGCCCCAGCAATACATGAAGAAGTTCTGAAGAGGAGGAGGAGGGGAGTGGGGGGGAGTGGAGGGGAGGGGAGGGGAGGGGAGGGGAGGGGAGGGGAGGGGAGGGGAGGGGAGGGGAGGGGAGGGGAGAGTGATTGGAGGTTGGGTAGAGGGCAGAGAAGCGAAGGCTATGTGAGGGGGAATGACTGGTTGCAAGGTAAAGTACTAGAGATCAGGAAACGTCTGGATGCATTAACAGGCGGGGACTATGTGATGGGAGGATACACGGGAATGTTGATGGGCGGGAATGAGGTGGAGAGCGGTGGAGAGATTTGGAGAGGGTTGGAGAGGTGTGGCAGAGGGTGCACCTGCAGATGGACGCTGGTGTCGAACTGACTCTTCAATGCATACTCGTTGTACACTGATGCGGTTGAAGGTATTGTGAGCTGATGGAATCACAGGGGAGCAAAAGCACATTCCCTTTCATCAGAGCGAGCATGCCAAGAGCACAGAGCATGTGTGTCAATGGATCAAAACCCAAAAGAACCGGTGTAATGCAATGCGGATCAGCAAACAAGGAGGAGGAAGGACAGATGCAAGCTTTTCCTTCTCATGCAATGGCAAGAAAGGTAAGAAAGGAAGCGAGCAAAGGCACATGCGACGTGGATCCAAACACCGAAACAGGTGGACGTGCAAAGAAGAATGTGTAGACCCATGCAAGGGGCGAGACAATGCGACATTGAGCATGGTCGCAGCAACAGCATTTGAGATATGGAGCATGGCGGCACGGCACGTACAAAGAAGAATGTGTAGACCCATGCAAGCGGCGAGACAATGCGACATTGAGCATGGTCGCAGCAACAGCATTTGAGATATGGAGCATGGCGGCACGGCACGTACAAAGAAGAATGTGTAGACCCATGCAAGGGGCGAGACATTTGCGACATTGAGCATGGTCGCAGCAACAGCATTTGAGATATGGAGCATGGCGGCACGGCACGTACAAAGAAGAATGTGTAGACCCATGCAAGGGGCGAGACAATGCGACATTGAGCATGGTCGCAGCAACAGCATTTGAGATATGGAGCATGGCGGCACGGCACGTACAAAGAAGAATGTGTAGACCCAAGCAAGCGGCGAGACATTTGCGACATTGAGCATGGTCGCAGCAACAGCATTTGAGATATGGAGCATGGCGGCACGGCATGTACAAAGAAGAATGTGTAGACCCATGCAAGCGGCGAGACATTTGCGACATTGAGCATGGTCGCAGCAACAGCATTTGAGATATGGAGCATGGCGGCACGGCACGTACAAAGAAGAATGTGTAGACCCATGCAAGGGGCGAGACGTCCAGCATGGCAGCAGCGGCAGCATTGCCGCCGCACGGTATTTGGTTGATGCTGATGCCTATGAGTAGCAGCACGAGTGCCTCGCACTGCATGAAAGTGAAGCGCCTCTTCATGACCACAGTCAGCAGCACGGCGATCACAAGAATCTGCACCCCCACACACCCACACTCACACACACACACCCACACTCACACACACACACCCACACACACACACAACAACAAATGCCATGCAAAACGTGGATGTGGGAGAGGGAGAGAAAAACACAAATTCCAGAGGACAGCTGAGAAGGTAGTGATGTAAAAGGAGGTAAGGGGGATTGAAACGAGGGTGATGGAGTGGGCATGGGCTTGGAGTAAGCCCCCCAAAATGGCAGGAAATTGGAATGATTCCCCCCCTCACCATGCCACTCTAAGAAGATCACTGGATTTTCATTTCCCCCCCCCCTGCCCCTCACCCACCCCCCGAAACGCGTGGAACCAGAGCAGAGCCTATGGTGACAACAGCCGTTTAACCCCTCTGAACACTCAGGTGCTAAGCACTTGAGTAGTGAGGGTGAATCTGCGTGGAAGGTGGTGTGGTGGTCAGTCAATGCCAATGTGAATGTGAATGTGTTCTTCTACTGACCTTGGGACTTCCAGTTCCAAGCATCTTCACTGTCGTTGGCTTTTGTTGGCTTGAAATACAGCTGAGGGTCGGATTGCTGTTTACATGAGATGTGTGCACTTGACTAGTCAGGCCAGGAGGGAAGGTGGCGGTGACTAGTCAGTGCGAGGCGCACTAACCTTGAGATTACCGAGCATCTTCACAGTCGTGGGCTTGAAATACAGCTGATGGATGAATGGTGGGGAAACGGAAGAGAGGAGACGGAGGGAAGGGGGGTGGAGGGGGAAATGGGAGGGTGCGATTGAGCGGAAGGTGAGTGTGCAGGTGAGAGGGAAGGTGAGGAGGATGAGGGGAGGGGTACTGTGCTGTGGAACAGGGAGGGGGAGACTGACGGGTAGAATGATGATGAAACGGACTGTGCAACAAGCACAATGATACATACATGTGGTAGTGTTATTATGGATGGCAGAACGTGGCATGATGCATGTGATGTGACGTGTCAGAACAGAACACCCATGGCAAGCGATTGCCAGTTCCTATCAATCAGGCGCGTGATTTGACCAATCCCGTGTGCTCTCCGCTCAAATCAAGCCAGGTCGAGTAAAGTGGAGTGGGGGAGTGAGCGACCTGCATGACGAATTTGAGGTAGTTGTTCATGGCATAGAGGAGCGCCGGCACCGCCAGCAGCACATTCGCCTTGGCTGACTGATTGCACCGCACGCAGGCATGGGAGGGCGGACGGGTGTGAGTGGTGAATGGAGAGGGACGAGTGAAGGGTCAGATGGGAACAGGGAAAATGTATGGGGATAGGGATGAGAATAGGGATAGTGGTAGGTCATGGGAATAGGGGTGGGGTACATGGATAGGGGTAGGGTATGCGGATGGGTTACAGGGATAAGGTATAAGAACAGGGTACGGGACAAGAAAATGAAACATGGTAAGGCAATGGCATCACAGCACAGTATGCATGTACCTTCCAAATGGCTCTGGGAGTGAAGGCAGCTTTGACGCTGGGACGGGCACTGCGGGCCTGGTGTGGAGGTGCAGGGGGGGAGGGAGAGGCGAGGGAAGGAGGGAGAAAGGCAGGCAGGCAGGCATGAGGGGTTTATTTGGAAGAGGAATGATGGCAGTGTGCAGAGAAGGAGAGCAAGAGATATAAAACTGGGGGAGGAGGTTGTGGGCGGGGAGAAACGGGGGTAACGGAGAGGACAGGGAAGCGGAGATAAGGGACAGCGCAGCACGGCTGGACGAAGATGCTGACGAAGGTGGACGAATTTTGAGAGCTATGACAGAAGAGGAGAAAGGGGAAAGGAGTGGGTAGAGGGAAGTGGGGGGAGGGGAGGTAAGAGGGGAGAGTGGAGAGGGGAGAGTGGAGAGGGGAGAGTGGAGAGGGGAGAGGGGAGAGGGGAGAGGGGAGAGGGCAGTGGGCAGTGGGCAGTGGGCAGCGAGCACAGGGCAACGGGCAGAGGGCAGAAAGAAGAAGGCAAAAGGCAGCAGATCAACGCACCTGGAGATGATGATGGTGAAGGTGAACTTGAAGAGCTCGGAGAGGAAGTTTGAACACTTGAGTCGAATTGGACTCACGGAGAAGGGCGAGAGCAGAGGGCTGAAGAGAGAGAGCAGAAGGCAGCGGGCAGAAGCCAGAAGGCAGAAGGCAGAAAGGCAGCTTACCTGGAAGAAGATGATGATGATGGCGAAGGTGAACTTGAAGAGCTCGGAGAGGAAGTTGACGGAGATGGGGTTGAAGAGGAACTTGCCGTCCACCTTGCTCATGTACACCAGGATGGGCTGCATGCCGATGAAGAAACAGTCCCCCGCCACCAGCACCACGTTCAGCGCGCGCGACTGTAGACCTCCTGCTAGAGCTGCTGCTCCTCCTCCCCCGGACCCTGCCCTGTGGAACGCGCGTTTCATCACCATATGTGGAATGTGCCGCGTCTGCTCTGCTCTGCAGTGCTTTACAAACTTTTTTAATTTTGTTTCCAAACAGTCTACTTTTCTGAGTGGGACCTTGCCCGACCGCCCGGATAAGCACTTTCAGTTACAAAAATTGCGGAATCCTGACCAATTCCACACCCCCCCACTCCCCCGCCCACCTGCTCCTCCTCCAACCCCCACTTCCCCTACTTCCCACTCACTTTCAATTCGCACAAATCCTTCTATTCCCCTCTCCCTGTTCCCCGTCCCCCGTCAAACTTCGCACCTACCACTTCACGCACCTATCACCTTCTCACTGACTCCATGCGTCCCATCCACGATATTCGCGATCTGACTGCTAACCATCTACTAGCTGCCCGTACAAAAACAACTCCTGACTGGACTAAGAAATCATCTGCATGCTAAAAGATATCCGTATATCTACCCCCTCCTCGGCCGTTCGATCCTGACAAGAACCGCTCAAGTCTCGCTGAAGTCCCTCGTAAGCTACCTTGGAGAGCTTTCTTGCCCTAAAGAGAACTCGCGAGCAGAGTGAGAGAAATTACTTGTCGGCATTCGATGTCCTGGCGAACTAACGAAACACGCCGCAAAAGCGCAACGGCTTGAACAATGGCTGAACTGCTGACGACTCGTGCCTGCGGGTGCCGATGGTGCTGAGCCGGAACTCCAGTAATGCGAAAAACGGGGTCCAGAACGACTTGCTTCAGGTTGTACTTAAGTCGCGTCGAGTTTCGACCGATCAGCGCACCGGACAGCTTCCGGCAGACACTCGTCGCTGCTTCCTACTATGACTAGACGTGTACTAATTGACAATGGTTGAGGGTGAGACCAGATGCTGCGACATTAGTAGTTGTTCAACGCAACCATCCGTGGTTGCTCCGTTTCTGGTGAGAGCAAACGCAGGAATGATCGAGCACCATCCGATCCGAAGCGGACGAATACAATGAACTAAAGCCGTGGCACGTGAAGGAGAAGAGCAATGAAGCAGTCTGCCATATTTGCATCTGCCAATCAGTGGGTTGCTTTCATGGTCTTCCTCACCAACCAGCAGCAGCAGCGGCTGCATTCTGTGCTTACTGCTGCTGGCATTGGGTTTGCGTGAAAGATATTTGTGATTTCGCCTGAATCCTTCCGCGGGCTGGGCTGGGAGTTCTTTTCGCGAGCGTCGTCACCGTCGTATTCAGCGTCCAGATTGGTGTGACTAATTTTTGCCTCATCGGTAGAGAAATGCAACGAATCATCGTGAGTACGAACACCGAGACGAAGCTGGTAACACAATCCTCAGTGTTGTTCCAGATGGTCAGGCGGTCTTGGGGATTCCTTGGCTCGGGCATGCCCGAGCCACAGGTTTCCAGACCTGCCAAACTTCCCAACCGCACTGTACAGTACTGTACACCCAACAAGGAAAACTGGAAAATTTCTGCCTTTCCTTCAGCACTCCTCGAATCCATCCAGTTTCCTCGAGATTAGTTCCTTGCTTTCCAAGCCCAACACTGCGAGACTTAGTTAGTCTCCCTTAGTTAGTCTTCCCTTGCACCCGCACACTCCATTTCACGCATCCGTTGCCCGCTGCGACGCCGCGAAGCCAGCAAACCCAGCCACGGCGATGGCTTCCGCTGTGGTAACCACCGCGGCGCATATGTCGCTGGCGATCGCGTCCATGGCGGTCGTGCTTGTCTTCTGCGACGGGTCGCTCTTCGGGTACCATCCCGCGGCGCTCGCTCTCGGCTTCGTATTCCTTATGGGGGAGGGCGTCATAGCCGCTGCTGTTGGCAAGGTAGTGACAGTTGTCAAGCTGCTGTCAGCATTGATAATGCTACTTACCACGATAACCCACATTTTGTGCACTGTCCTCCACATTGTCCACCCCGTCCTTTTCCCGCATTCCCTCCTTCCCGTCTCCATCTCTCTCCATCTCTCTCCTGCCCTCTTTCTCTCTCTTCGTTTTTTCCCACCCTCCCTCCCTGCCCCCCTGCCTCTGGATCAACATCCACGCCCCGCTCCAAAGACTGGCAGGAAACCGCACCTCACCGCTTTCCACTCCCACCTTTTTCCAACACCACCAGGGACGGCAACGACCTCTCTGGATCAACTTCCACGACCCGCTCTAAGGCCTGGCAGGAATCACCACCATCTACCTTAACATATCCTTCCTGGCAAACCGCACTTCACCGCTCTCCATCCCCCCCTTTCCAACCCCCACATCCTTTAGGGACGGCAGCGGCCCCTCTGGATCAACATACACGCCCTCCTGCAAGGCTTAGCAGGCGCCGCCATTGCAGCCGGAACCACCGCCATCTACCTCAACAAAAACCGCCTGGGCAAACCGCACTTCACCACTCTGCACTCCCAGCTCGGCCTCGCAGCGCTGGTGCTCTCTGCAGGCATTGCTGCAGGCGGCGCTGTGGTGAAATATCTGCCTGCTGGGGGCGTGGTTGAGACGATGCGGCGTGCACACAAGCAGTTTGGCGCAGTGGCGTTTTTCCTGGGCGTGGCGGTGTGTGTGAATGGGCTCCGACTCACCAACCCTGCTAGCCCTGTCTACAAGGTGAGGGCAGGCGGAATTTGAGGAGAAGGAAGAGGGGGTAGGCGGAAGTAAGAGGATAACGAAGAGAGGAGGGAGAGGAGAATAGAGGACCAGAGGTGAAATGCTGTGGTGTGGTTAGAAGATGCTGATGCATACCTACTGCAGCAATGTCACCCGAAGGCCACCTCATCTCACCCTAATGTCACCCTGCTTGCCCACTGTTTTCCTAACCTCCTGCTTTAGGCTGCTGGCTTACATGCACCCCTGCTTTCCTTCTCACCCTTGTGCTCTCCCTCTAACCCTTGTGCTCTCCCTCTCACCCTTGTGCTCTCCCTCTCATCCTTATGCTCTCCCTCTCATCCTTGTGCTCTCCCTCTCATCCTTGTGCTCTCCCTCTCATCCTTATGCTCTCCCTCTCATCCTTATGCAGGGTCCACTATCCATGGCGGTGGGTGGTCTGCTGGTGCTGGCAGCTGCTGCAGTGCTGCTGCAACTGCTGCTCGCACCCTCTGCCGATCCCAAGGCAGGCAAGGGCAGGAGAGCACCCAAGGCAGATTAAATCAATGTATGGGATGCAGGAAAGGGTACAAGAAATGGCAGGTGAAGCATGGAGGGGAGGCGCATGTAACTAGTGTATCATGCACTGCACACTGTCAACTGCTTTTGAGCAATAAAGGAAAAGGCTTCTATGGTACAAGAACATTCCACAGTTCTGGTATCAATTATCTTGTGTGCACAGTACTCTCTGTGTCAGGGTGGTTGTTCCAATGCCAGGGTTAGGAACCTACATATGGGTAGGGTAGTTGTACAAGGAAATCAAATCAGTGAGGGCTACAAAACCACCACAGCACAGAGAACCCACTCAAATTGCATGAGCGTCCTGCAGGGCCAGAAAGCCAGGCAAGGCTAGTCAACGTATCAGCTGGAAATACGGTAGCCTGGGGTGGGGAAAACATCTGCTTGCAATTGCTTCAGCTTGTAACACCTGGCCAAGACAGCACACAGCAGCCTCCTCTGGTGGAATAGGAACTGGAGTGAGCCGCTTCAGCTGGAAATAGTCTGCGCTGGAAAAAAAGACTCAGCTGGCAACTCCTGGCCATGACAGCACAGCAGCCTCCTCTGGTGGAACGGGCACAGGGGTGAGCCGCTTCTTGCTCCTCCCCATCACCGCCACCTCCGCTGCCCGTTTCTCCCCTCGTTGCTCCCCTTCCCCTGCCTTGCCCCCAGCAGCAGCTGCTGCAGACGGCACTCCAGAGGCTGTTATAGCAGGGGCAGCAGCTGCTGGTGCAGCGGCAGCAGGAGCAGACACGGCCGCAGGGGCAGCAGCAGCAGCAGCAGCCGCAGCAGTAGTAGGGGGTGCAGAAGAGGAGGTGGCGCCAGAAAAGACAGCCGAGAGTTGCTCTCTCATCATGGCCTCCACGGAGGGCAGGCGAATCATCTCCTGAAGTTCCTCTGCCTGCCATGGGGAAAAGAGGGAGGAATAGGGTGGAAGAAAGAAGATATTGTCAAACTGACTTCAACCACACGCTTTCAATGACAGAGGGGTGCTTCCCGTGTGCTTTCGCTGAATGAAAAGGGCAGGAGCAGGGAAAGAGAAGGGCAGTGGAGACATGAAGCAAGAAGGACGCAGGACTTTCCAAGAGGTGAAGGGATGAGCCCAAGGGTTCAGGAGAGGGGGAGAAGAAGAAGCGAAGGGGAGCTCACCTTCTCTTTGAGGTCACTCGCAATGTGCTGCACGTCTTGTGTCGCTCGCACCAGCTCCTCCTCACCACTGCTATGAGACGACTCAGGACATACATTTACATTTTCTAGGAGACTCATAGCAGCAAGGTAGCGCTCTCACCTTCTCTTTGAGGTCACTCGCTATCTGCTGCACGTCCTGTATCTCCCGAACCAGCTCCTCCTCGCTGCTGCTCGCGTCTATCGAGTCGTACGGAATGCCCGTGCCCTCCTCCGCCTTACCCTTGCCCTTGCCCTTGTCCACAGAACTCTTTGCAGTTTCCCCTGCCTTCGCCTCGTCCTTCTCTTCCTCTTTCTTCTCTTCCTCTTTCTTCTCTTCCTGTGCCTTTTCTTCCTCTTTCTTCTCATCCTCTTTCTTCTCTTCCTCTCCCTTCACTTCTCCCTTCGCTTCCCCCTTCACCTCTTTCTCTGCAGCTTCATCCGCATCCTTCGTAGCTACTACCCCTACACTAGCACCTTCAGCAGCAGCGGCACCACTCCCACCAGCCACCAAACTCTCACCGCCCTCCTTCCCTGCCGTTTTCACCTTCCGTTTCGCCTCCAGCAGCGACTGCGCCTGCGCAACGCGCTTCTCACACGCGTCTATGGCCTGCCGGCAGCACCGGAGCGCCTCAGACGCGCGATTGCCTGTTTGATTCGCCAGCGCCATCTTGAAATACCTGCCGCAGGCAGGTAGGGGCGCGAGGGGTAGGAGCATGGGGGGTAGGAGCATGGGGGGTAGGAGCATGGGGGGTAGGAGCATGGGGGGTAGGAGCGCGGGGGGTAGGAGCATGGGGGGTAGGAGCGCGGGGGGTAGGAGCATGGGGGGTAGGAGCGCGGGGGGTAGGACCGTGGGCGAGCCCAAACGGAGGTAAAAAAAAAGAGAGCTTGAGGGATTCGCTAAACTTCTTAATACATAATCTAGAGACATAAAGGACGGATAGAAAGAAGGGTGCTCCGACTAGACCCAGCGGTGGCCGCCACGCCATCATTGCACCACCTCAGCACTCACAGTTCGATGACGCGTCGGTGATGTGGCGACACGAGCAGTGAGAGCAGGTGCAGCGCGTGCTGATAGTCCTCCATGCACGCATCAAAGTCCTCTGGTGCGGGCAGATGATAGGGAGGCGCATATTGGTTATGCCGAATCAACAGTCTGGTATCTGCTAGGTATCTGAGATAAGACTTCTGAGACATCTCAGGCAATTTTAAATAACCCCTCTCAGAAGACAATGCAACTGTCGCACCTTTTTCAAGACTAAGATCCGCAAGCGTGGAGATAACGTCCACCTCCTCCAGCTACATTGGGTCACTTTGGAGTAAGACCGTCATTCTCAACCAGTGAGACCGTCTCACCTTTTTCGAGACTAAGATCCGCGAGCGTGGAGATAACATCCACCTCCTCCAGGCTCCTCGATTCGCGCTTGGCATAGATGCACCGAGCCGTCTCCAGCAGCCGCCACGCGAGCTCCTGATCGCTCTCCTCCTCCTCGTCCCCGTCCTCTGCCTCCTCTAAATCCTCCTCCTCGGCTGCGTCGGCTCCGTCGGCTGCGTCGTCCGTCTCCTCCACTGCACACCATGGGGAGAGAGCAACGGAGGAACAGGGTAACGGGGTAACGGCAAAAGTTTGGTGAGACTGAGGTCGCTAGGCGTATTGTCTGACCATGGCTTCAAATCCAGGACAAATAAGATGAATAACTTTCCAAAACTGCTAAAATAACAAGCGAGGACAACGGGCGGCACGCGACGGAACCAAGAAGGGCACTCATACAAAAGAATGTCATTTCTTCACAGACGAAAGTAGAATAAACGAACCTTTGCCTTTGCCTTTTCCTTTTGACTTGCTTGCCTCATCCTCCTCTGCTTCCACATCTTCCTCCTCCTCCTTCCCCTGCTCTAGCTTCTGCCCCGCAGGCCCCAGCACGTCCGTGTCACGCTGCGACTTGACGAAGAGCGCGGAGCCGTACTTAAAGTACGCCACGGCGCATTCCTCGCCGAGCTCGCCGAAAGCGGCGACCCTGGTTGGAGAGTAGTAGGAACAATTGGCAAGCAAAGAGATAGGCGCGTGAGGCCGATACCAGGGGAAGATTTGGTAGCAGGAAATGCATGACCATAAAGTTTTACGTCGGGGGGGTGAGAGGTTATAGAGCAGAGAGAAAAAACGTTTCCGCTCGTACCGCGATTCGAGCGCGGAGCCGAAGAGCTGGATGGCAGTCTCGATGTCGCTGTTGTCGAGAACCGCATCGCCTTGCTTCAGAAGGTCGTCGGAATCGCGTAGCTTCTGAGACACGTCGATTTGCGAGCTTGACCCCATGAGAGCAAAAGCAGCCGCGGTGAGTTAGTCTCAAGAGAAGTCACTGATCGCCGCCTGCCTCGAGATGCCGCACGTGATTACCAGCAAACCAATCGATAAGTAAAATGCGAAAAAACAGAGTAGAAACAGAGTAGGATGGTCCTCGTGACGATCAAAAGGCCTAGTCCAAGCAGCGAATCTAAGGCAAATAAATTGCCCAAGAGCTGAAGGAATGAGCAAATGACGAGAAAACTTGAGAAATGCTGAAGAAATGAAACACGCAGGTGGAATTTGACCTCCAGGCAGGGGGAGTGAGTTCGGCTCGGCTTGGTTTGCCTTGGCCTGGCAGCCTTGGCCTGATTGGTCTAGCATCTCGAGGTTTCCCGCCACCAGAATGAGAAGACAGTCGTGCAAATCGCATATAGTCGCACACTCATGGGTCTTGCGAGCGTGAGACTAGCACTAGCCCAGTGTGCGAACAAAAGCAGCTCGTCACCTTCTCGTGAGCGACCGTGTGCGAGCGAATCGCCTTTTGAACCATTCAAATTCAGAAGTTCGAATTGGCTGCGTTACTGGGATAGGCTCGTTAAGAGCAGCAAGCAGTCTGTGTTTTTAACGAACTATATTTCCACATCCAGTGCTGTACGGAACAGAACTACCCCACAATGCACCAACAATCATTTACACATAATAGCTCCAGAACAAACGCCATTTCTTTCGTTGTGTATAAATGGCAAATACAGCAGCCCCGTAATTATTTCGCAAATGCTTCTTTCCTCAAGGTATGTAAGCCATGTCAACTCTTGGCCAAGTTCCTTGAACTCATCCAACCAAACAAAGACGGACCACCACCAGCACCTCCACCTCCACCGCCACCGCCACCGCCACCACTACCACTACCGCCACCGCCATTGCCACCAACAGCAACGCTCTTTGATCTCATTTTCATCGCCTTTGCCGCAGCTGCAGCTGCAATTTCCGCCGCTTCTGCTGCAGCAGCTGCAAGCTCTTCCTGCTCTTCTTCCAATGGGTAAACCACCCTCCAGTCCCCTCCTAGCCTGTCCAGCTCAAATTTCGCCACATCCAACCGTCTCTTGAGCTTCTCCTCTAGCTTCTTTGCAGCTACAAGCTTAGTCCGCAAGTCTAGTGCAGCCGCCTCAGCAACCTGTTTGCTCTTCTCTAATCTCTCCACGTCTCCTTTCATCAGCATCAGCTCTGAAACAGCATCTGTTTTCGCCCGAAACATCTCCTCCATCTCACCCTTCAACTTACTCACCTCCGCTGCAAGCCGCTCCGCATCCGCTCTCGCCTCTGACTCCCTTTGCTCCGCCCCTTCAATCTCCGTCTCCATATTAAACAGCAGCGATGCATGCTGCTCCGCCACCGCAGCTGAAGCCTCGGCATGCTCCCGCTCCCGAGCCTCCATGTCCGCCACCCGAACCTGCGCCTCCACCAGGCTCTTCTCAGCCATTTCCGCCCGGTTCGTCGCAGCCTTCACCTCCACACTCAACCGCGACACCTCTGCTTCCAGCAGTGCCACTTTCGACCGAATCTCCTGCCGTAACTCGCTTTCAAACAGCGCGCGGCTCTCCTCTAGTTTCTTTTTCGCAGAGCTCTCAGAAGCAATCTTCTCCTTAGCCTGCTCCAGCTCTGCGAAAAGCTGCTCTCTCTCCCCAAGCGCCCGCCCTGTGGCTGCTTGTGCCTGGTTCAGTCGATCCTCCCATTCGTCCTCTACTCTAGCCTTGGCGAATTCCCACTCCTCGGCTAGTCTCTGTGCCTCTGTGAGTTGATCTCTCAGCTGTGCGTTCTCCTTGAAAAGGGAGTCTAGCCGCTGCTGCTGCAGCGCGACTGTGTCTGCTGGGGAGCCTGCAGCTGCTGCTGTGCTCTTAGGGGTGCTGCCCGTGGTTTGAGGGGTCTGGATATGGGGAGGGGGAGGAGGGAGGGAGAATACGCAAGGGGAGTTAGGGAGAGGGAGAATGATGTTGTGAGAATTGGTGAGGATTGGTGATGGGGAAGGACCAGTGGGCTGGCACAACGGCAGCTGTAAACACAGCAGGTGGGCAGCAGGTGGGCTGCATCCTTTGAGGCGCCTCAAAAGTAAGCTGCACTCTCATAACGTCAAGCTGTCTGCCTGCCTGCGTTTAGCAGGCATAACGGTGGGTGGTGCATGACGGTATTAGAGGAGCAGCACAAACTTTCTATGCCATTCCGCCCACGACGTTTCCACGACGTTGTGGTAACAATGGCCACAATGCCTCTCATTCCAAAACAAGCCCAGTGCATGTGTCCCTCTTTCTCTTACTCCACGCCTTTCTCTCCCACAGATGTGTTCTCACTCGAGCAATCAGGCACGTGGATACAAGAGACACACACAACCCCCATTTCCCTCTCCCAGCATTGTAAGCTTCTTCCTCTCCTCCCTCACACGCACAAACAGAAACGCATGCAAGCACATGCGCACGCTCAATTGCGCACACACATGCACATCATCTTGCCCATGTCCATCCTCTACCTCGCCGTTCCGTCCCCCTCTTCAACCCTTAAAAAAAGCCCTCCAATCCCTCCCTTCCTCCAAATGTTACTAAACTATTTCTCTTGAGTGACAGGAAACAACCATCACCACCAGCAGTTCCGTACACGCTTCTGTCACGTCCATTCTTATAACAACAGCAGCAGCAGTGGCAGCAGCAGCAGCAGCAGCAGCGGCTTCTGCTCCTTGCTCCTTCTCCCTCACCCCCTCTCTTTCGCTCTCACATCCATTCTTCTAGTTCTGTTCTTTCCACATTCTTGCTTGCACTCCATGTCTTTCAAAATGATGGCCTCCTCTCCGTCATTCCCCACGCGCGTTCCGCGCATCCCCTCCCCCTCCTCCGCGCGCTCACCTGCCCCATCTTCACCGCGAACAGTTCCGCCTCCAGCTGCCCCGCGCGCGTCGCCAGCTCCGCCTTCTGCCTCCGCAAATCGTCCCGCTCCGCTCGCAGCCGGTGCATCTCGTCCGCCTGCTGCCGCCACGCCGCCGCCGCGCGCTCCGCCTCCTCTGACCGCAGCGCCAGCTCGCGCAGCAGCCGCGCGGCTTCCGCCTGGTCGCGCGACGGCACGGGCGGAAGCGCATTTCCCCCCGCGCGCGTGGCGGTGAAGCTTGGGGAGCGGCATGTGGGGGTGTTGGGGCGGGAGTTGGAGGCGCCGCTGCCGGTGCTGTGGCAGCGCGCAAGGTCGAAGGCGGAAGAAGGGGACGGCTCGTCGGTCTTGGGGGACGCGGGTTGTTCCTTGGTGCGCCGAATGTGGTTGAGTATTCGCCCCGCCATGGCGGAGCTGGTTGACGGGGAAAGGGAAACGGGAGTTAGAGGGATGACGGAGACGGGGAAGCGAGAAGAGGGGAGGGGGGGGGGGGGGGGGGGAGGGTGGGGACAGGGCAAATGGGAAGGGGAAAGCTGGTGTGAGAGAGGGGTTGAAAGGGTGAAGAAGTGGCGGAAAGAATGGGCTGTGGAACGGAGTGAAAGGATGTGGAGTGAGAGAGGTGAGGGGAAAGAAGATGGGTTGTTTAGGGCACGGCAGTGGGGCGAAGGAAAACGGGAGAAAGGGGGGAAAACGGGAAGAGGGGGGAAAAGGGGAAGGTAAGGGGGGGAGAGAAGGTAGGGGGAAAGTCAGAAATTAGGGTTTCGCATACCTACGGCGGGGGAGGTCAAGCAGTGAAGCAGCTGTTTCTTGAACAGGTCAGGGAGATGATCCCTCTCGAGACGCCTCACAACAGGGACGGCTTTTGTTCCACGGGCCAACTGATGGTTCTCGCACAATCAAAACGACGAGTGCTGCGACGACAAGCAGACGACCCGATGCGACTCCCAAGCGACACTTCCCGCGACGGTCGACGGAAAGGGACGGAAAATAAAATAAGGTGCTCTTTGAGACGAAGCAGATAGGCCGATGGGAAACGAGTTGGCCGGGATGAGGGCGAGAGGAGAGGACTAGGAAGGCAGGTTCGTTGGATAATCTAGCTTAGTCCCTTGGCGTAGGTCGAAAGACTAAACGGACGAACAGCGGCGAGAGTCGCTCATTATCGTCTCGAGTGCCATCTCGCTGGCTTTGCCTTCTCGACTGAGTCGGAATCTTGAATTAAATACACCTGGTCGAAATGTAGGTCAGAGGTAGAGTGGTGCCTGCGCGGTCATTGGATTGGTAGTCCTCGCCAAGAATTGGCCATTAGGGTGACCGTAACGCGATGGCGAACATCTTGGACGATTGAGCGATCCTTACGCTAGAGATCACGCACGCTTGGCGCGAAGTTACAATCGCGAGAGAGCGTCTGGTCTAGGAACGACGAGCGAACTTTCGCGTGGCTCGCGCTCCCTGCTCCAAGCACCTCACACCACTCTCTATGGCTAACGCAAGCTCGCTATATTATTGTCACTGAGAGCCGATTTCTGCTGACTGGACAGGACACTATTGCGCAGTGAAGAAACTAAACTCGGTAGGTACTGTTATCGATATCTGGTCCTTGTTATGCAGTGAGGGCAGCAGCGTGGGCAGCGTGTGGCAGCGCAGAGCAGCAGAGTCAATAACACCGCGGACGCCAGGTATTCCCTGTGTCACATTCCCCTGCCAGCCCTAAGGGAATATCAAGGCAAGGGGTATCTCCCAGCATCCCAAGGGTTTCCCCCCACCTCGGGTTTTCCCTTCCCGCATCAGTTCCTTTTTTCGCGGATTCCCTCTCCCTCACTCCCCGCCCTGTTTGGCGGGCCTGCTTTCCTCTGGTACGTACACCAGAGTTTCATTTCGAGACGAGACCAAACACTTGGCTCCACTGGTATTGTATGTACTGTACTGACACCGCTTTCTGATTCTGACACTCGGGCGGAGTTCGAGCACAGTGACGCTAAGTGAGGCGGAGGGCATTTTTGTTCTCGAAAATCCTGGCCGAAAAGCATGTCACAAACTTCCACGTCGCTCTCCAACCATCACTTGCATGTGTGTCCAGCTCAGTGCCCACGTCCCCAGCAAGAAGCGCCTTTTTTTTTTTTTTTTTTTTTTTTTGGGAGAGACACATAATCTTTACAAAGAAAAGCATCGCACAAGAGGAGAGGAACGGGAAAGAAAGACACCAGAAACAACTCAAACGCAACACCCATAAAAAGCCCCATAAAAATACTCTATAAAGAAAAAAAAAAAAAAAACCCAACCAGGATATGCTGGTTTGACTTTTTCCTCCCATCAGGTCGACGTCCATACGATGAGGCGAATATTTTCATAGCAAGTGAATGTCATTCGGCAAAGAAAAGCATCGCACAAGAGGAGAGGAACGGGAAAGAAAGACACCAGAAACAACTCAAACGCAACACCCATAAAAAGCCCCATAAAAATACTCTATAAAGAAAAAACCCAACCAGGATCCCCTACCAGACGTCCCATCTCGCACCCCATTCCCCCTCGCCCCCACCCCCCCCCCCCCCCCCCCCCCCCCCCCAAGTCACATCTGCACATCCACCATGTAGGGGGCCTCCACCCAAAGAGGCCCGCCCTCCACCTCGACATCGTCCCTCTCCCGATCCACCAAGTCCACATTCAACCCCCCCATGGAAGACGCCGCCCGAAGCAGGATGACACGAGCTTGCGCCCGTTGTAACGCCACTCCGATGAGCGCCTTCAGAGACCCCAAAAGGTAAGCCGAGAACGAAGTGTCATCCTCCCGACAAGCCCCCCGTGACACAGCTAGCCCCACGTGCGCGTCCCCCTGCTGTCGAAGCCACCGCCGGAAGCGACCGCCGAGACACCCCCACGTCTCCACTATCAAAGGGGTGAACTGCACGCCTCGGTTCCGTGCAAGAAGAGGCGCGTAATCCCCCGTTTTGCGACGCTCCCACTCCTTTGCCGCCACGCCTATAGACCGCCCGCACTGCCCTAGCAGAGATGGAGACAGTGATAGCGGGTCCGCGACACTAATCTCTAAAGCATGAGCCTCCCCAGCCATTGGTCGTCGCACCGCTACGTCAACCCGCTTCCCCGGCAGCACCGCACTATCCTCCATCGTCACCACCCCCCCTGACGCCTTAGCGATCTTTGCCACCGCAAACTTCACCTCATCATGCACCCGAGATGGACCGTGTTGGTGCTTGCATCTCAGCGCATGATGCGGGTCTGCTGGGTCATCATACGCTGCGCCACAAACACACTTCCCCGCCACTTGCAGCTGCTGGATTGGGAGACCAAGCCGTATAGCAGCAGCAATGCCCCACTCCGCTGCAGTGAATGTGAGATCTGAATGAGCCGGAACTGCCGAAACCCATGCACCAGCCCCCGGGCCCTGAAGGGATGTGAAACGGGCTAGGGTGGCATCGTCACGAGCCAAGCGGCGGAGTGCCTGGAGCTCCTCAACAGCCAACTGCCGCTGCCGCGCCTGGAAAAGCCGAAGAGGAGGGGCCGCCACACACAGGGGTAAGTCCGGCAGCTCCTGGCGTATAGTCGCGGGCAACTGCTCAATGGCCTTGGCAAACCACGGGTCAAGAAGCTCCGCCCCCGCCGAAGTGGTGAGGTACTCTGCGAACATCGCCTCCTCGCCCGCCACCCCCAAATGTGCAATATCCCGTGCGGCCTGCGCCCACCCACAAACATAGGAGAGCGGACTCAAAGAGGCCGCCGCCCGGATCCCAAACCCTCCGAGGCGCACAGGGAGATGCAGCTGCATGCGTGCGCGCCTAGACCTGCCGGGATCCTGCTCCCAAGTGCCAGGGGGGAAAAGCTGCTCAAAGCAATCCTCCAGACAGCTGTCCCACTCTCTAAAGGCCTCCACCACCTCCGGCCGCGGCGGCATAGTCCGGGCCAGGTACATCGGCCGTGCTGAAACTGCAATAGCGAGGAGATGCGAGGCCATCTGGGGGTGGTCGAGCAGGGGGAGCCACGGCAATGGCGCCTGCAACTCGCGAAGCCGCTTCCGTAATCGGGCCCCCTCCCAATCCTCCTCCCCAATAGGCACGCCCACCACAATAAGACCCTCCTCCTCCCGCTGCATCCCCAAAGGCAATGCCCGCTCCATATCCCCACCTCCACGCTCCCAAAACCTGCACTTGTGCGCCTGCACTTCCAGCCCCACCCACTCCAACCTCTCTCGCAGCACCCCAAAAGCCTCCAGAATCCTAGCCGCTGGTCCCAGGATGTAGGTATCGTCTGCATAGCTCAAGAAAAGTAGGTCCCTGAACTCTCTAGTCACCGTCCCCAGCACCTGCTGCTGCGTGAAAGCGAAAAGAAAAGGGCCGAGCGGGTCCCCCTGTCGCGATCCTCGTGCCGACTCAAGACTCTGTACGAAAGGGCCCGCTCGGAGGTACAGGTCGCTAGGTGTCCCATAGAAGACACGCAAGAATGGGATCATTCCTGAGAAAGGCGACTCCTTCAGCCCCTCGAACATCGCGTGGCGATGAAACGAATTGAAGGCGTTCGCGACATCTATCTGCAGCGCACACCAGTCGGGGTGAGTGGCCAGCGCTGACCGGAAAGAATGAGTAAGAATCTCCACCCCGGCCCTGGTGCCCACTCCCAGCTGGTTACACGGCAGAAAATAAGAAGCCATCACAGGGCGAAGCGAGATGCAGAGAGCTCGAGCGAGGATACGCGGAAGCACCTCCCCGATCGCCACCGGCCGGACGTCACCGTTGGGTTTGGAAAGCCCGACTAGGTTGGATGCGGCGAGCCAGGGCCGAGCTCGCTCGGGGACCTGTCCCGCCACCCATTGGTTGAACACTTCCAGCAGGTGGGAGAGGCAGGAAGGTTCCGTGAGGAAAGTGTCGCGCAGATGCTCTGTGACCCATCCCGATGGCCCTGCAGCTGAGGCGCGAGCAGCTGTGTGGATAGCTCTAGCCAGAATGTCGGTCGTGAGTGGAGGCCGCTGAGGAGCGTCGACAGTAAACTCACGAACCCACGGTGGTACCTCGCCACTGCTAGCTGGGTGCTTCCCTCGCAGCGACTGCACCATAGCCTCAGACGGTCGAGCCAACTCTCCTGCTGTGAGGCAAGACAAACCACGGCTCCACTCTCCCACTTTACACCGAGATCGGCACCGTGACAGGCGGATGGCCTCCGGGTCCTGGTCAGAGCACGTGTAGGCAAGTGGGCGAACTGCTGGCCGTGCCGCCGCCATGGCAGCGTCGAACAACTCCCGCCACCTCCCCTCCCAGAAGGCCCCCAGCCGCTCTATGATCAGCGCCTTCTGACCTATGCCTGGCTTGGGAGGCACGGCTAGGATGAGGCGCGGAAACGCCAGGAGTAGGAGGGTAGCAGCTTCATCTCCCGGTCGGCTCTTCAGCCGCTTCAAGATGCAACAGAGTGCGTCTAAGACCCCGGACCGGGCCCGCTGCGGGATCCGGCGCACTGTCCTCCCTCCAACCGCCTCCACACAGAAAAATGCCTCCCACTCCCATGACTTAACCCCTGCCCACGCCTCGTCCCCAAATTCCCGCGGCGTCGGTCGCTCCTGTGTGTCGGTCTCCACCAGAGACGGGATCGAGCCAAGTGCCTGCGCGCGTCTCTCCGCCTCAGCCGCCCGGCATACCCTCATGTGGTTCGCAGCGGCCCCTCTCGTGGCGAACGTGTGGAAACACGTGTCACACGGGAAACGGGGGCATGGGGAAGGCGGACTGGGTGGTTCTCCGTCCGCCTCTGACTCCTCCGCAGTCGCCATGGGGGTATCAAACTCCAAAAGTCGGCACCACTCCTCCAACTGCTGTTCCCGGTCGTCCATCGATCCCCCCCCTGCCTGCTGCGTACCCTGGGGTGCCCCGGGCACCCCCGGCTGCCCCCCTGCCTGCTGCTCTCCCTGGGGTGCCCCGGGCGCCCTCGGCTCCCCTCCTGCCTGCTGCACTCCCTGGGGTGCCCCGGGCACCCTCGGCTCCCCTCCTGCCTGCTGCACTCCCTGGGGTGCCCCGGGCACCCTCGGCTCCCCTCCTGCCTGCTGCACTCCCTGGGGTGCCCCGGGCACCCTCGGCTCCCCTCCTGCCTGCTGCACTCCCTGGGGTGCCCCGGGCACCCTCGGCTCCCCTCCTGCCTGCTGCACTCCCTGGGGTGCCCCGGGCACCCTCGGCTCCCCTCCTGTCCGCTGCACTCCCTGGGGTGCCCTGGGCACCCTCGGCTCCCCTCCTGCCTGCTGCACTCCCTGGGGTGCCCCGGGCACCCTCGGCTCCCCTCCTGCCTGCTGCACTCCCTGGGGTGCCCCGGGCACCCTCGGCTCCCCTCCTGCCTGCTGCACTCCCTGGGGTGCCCCGGGCACCCTCGGCTCCCCTCCTGCCTGCTGCACTCCCTGGGGTGCCCCGGGCACCCTCGGCTCCCCTCCTGCCTGCTGCACTCCCTGGGGTGCCCCGGGCACCCTCGGCTCCCCTCCTGCCTGCTGCACTCCCTGGGGTGCCCCGGGCACCCTCAACTCCCCTCCTGCCTGCTGCACTCCCTGGGGTGCCCCGGGCACCCTCGGCTCCCCTCCTGCCTGCTGCACTCCCTGGGGTGCCCCGGGCACCCTCGGCTCCCCTCCTGCCTGCTGCACTCCCTGGGGTGCCCCGGGCACCCTCGGCTCCCCTCCTGCCTGCTGCACTCCCTGGGGTGCCCCGGGCACCCTCGGCTCCCCTCCTGCCTGCTGCACTCCCTGGGGTGCCCCGGGCACCCTCGGCTCCCCTCCTGCCTGCTGCACTCCCTGGGGTGCCCCGGGCACCCTCGGCTCCCCTCCTGCCTGCTGCACTCCCTGGGGTGCCCCGGGCACCCTCGGCTCCCCTCCTGCCTGCTGCACTCCCTGGGGTGCCCCGGGCACCCTCGGCTCCCCTCCTGCCTGCTGCGCTCCCTGGGGTGCCCCGGGCACCCTCGGCTCCCCTCCTGCCTGCTGCACTCCCTGGGGTGCCCCGGGCACCCTCAACTCCCCTCCTGCCTGCTGCACTCCCTGGGGTGCCCCGGGCACCCTCGGCTCCCCTCCTGCCTGCTGCACTCCCTGGGGTGCCCCGGGCACCCTCGGCTCCCCTCCTGCCTGCTGCACTCCCTGGGGTGCCCCGGGCACCCTCGGCTCCCCTCCTGCCTGCTGCGCTCCCTGGGGTGCCCCGGGCACCCTCGGCTCCCCTCCTGCCTGCTGCACTCCCTGGGGTGCCCCGGGCACCCTCGGCTCCCCTCCTGCCTGCTGCACTCCCTGGGGTGCCCCGGGCACCCTCGGCTCCCCTCCTGCCTGCTGCACTCCCTGGGGTGCCCCGGGCACCCTCGGCTCCCCTCCTGCCTGCTGCACTCCCTGGGGTGCCCCGGGCACCCTCGGCTCCCCTCCTGCCTGCTGCACTCCCTGGGGTGCCCCGGGCACCCTCGGCTCCCCTCCTGCCTGCTGCACTCCCTGGGGTGCCCCGGGCACCCTCGGCTCCCCTCCTGCCTGCTGCACTCCCTGGGGTGCCCCGGGCACCCTCGGCTCCCCTCCTGCCTGCTGCGCTCCCTGGGGTGCTCCGGGCGCTCTATGGGGTCCCCCTGTCACCCCCGGCTGCCCCCCTGGCTGCTGCACTCCCCGGGGTGCCCTAGTCCTCTCCGCCCGACCACCGGTCTGCCACCCTCCCTGGGTTGCCTCTGTCGCCTCCGGCACCTCCCCGGCCTGCAGCACCCCCTGAGGCGCCCTTGTCGACCCCTGCTGACCCCCTGGCTGCTGCTCGCCCTGGGATGCTCCTTGCAACTTGGCTGCGTGTCGTCTCCCTCTTCGGCCCCGAGCTCGCGACCTTTTCGCTTGGCCTGCGCCGCCCGGGCTAGCGACCCCCTGCTGAACCCGCGCCTGTTGCTCTTGCAACCCACTGATCGGCTCTTCAAGTTGCATGCTTCTACGCTCTTGGGGCCGGTTCCTTTCTCGACACCCTTGCTGCTCCCCTTCTTGCGGCTGAGACTGATTCTCCGTTTGACACCCCTCCTGTACGCTTCCCTGCCGCTCTCCCCCCCCCTCCTCCTGTGCCTCCTCCATCTCCACCTCCAACACCTGCGGCCACTCAGCTTGCAGCCCAAGCTGTCTCTCGACCTGCTGCTCCGTTACCATTCCTATCTCTATCTCCATGTCCACTTCCGACTCCTGCTCCCCCCCAGCCTGCGGGTCTTCCTTCCCCTCTGCCGGCAGCTCTTGCTGCCTCGTTGCCTGCGGCTCCTGCTGCCCTCCAGCCTGCAGCTCTTGCTGCCTTCCAGCCGGCAGCTCCTGTTGCCCCCCCATCTCCATCACCATCATCGCCTCCGAAGCCTGCTGCCCCTCAACCTGCCGGTCCTGATCCCCCCCAGCCTGCGACTCCTGCTGCCCCCCAGCCGGCCCCTCTTGCTGCCTCCCAGCCCGCAGCTCCTGCCGCCTCCAGGTCGGCCCCTCTTGCTGCCCTCCAGCCTGCAGCTCTTGCTGCCTTCCAGCCGGCAGCTGCTGCTGCCCCCCCATCTCCATCTCCGCCTCCAAAGCCTGCTGCCCCTTTGTCTGCGGCTCCTGCTCCTTCCCAACCTGCGGGTCCCATTCAACCCCAGCCTCCAGCTCCTGCTGCCTCCCAGCCTGCAGCTCCTGCTGCCCCCCATCCTGCAGCTTTTGCTGCCTTCCAATAGGCAGCTCCCATTGCCTCCCCATCTCCATCTCCAACTCCAACGTCTGCTCCCCCTCAGCCTGCACGTCCCGCTCCCCCCCAGTCTGCTGGTCCTGCTCCCCCCCAGTCTGCGGGTCCTGCTCCCCCCCAACCTGCGGCTCCTGCTCCCCCCCAGCCTGCGGCTCCTGCTGCCCCCGGGCTTGCGGGCCTCGCCGCGCTCCTTCCCCTTGACCCCGCGGAACTCCTGATTTGCGCCTCCGTTCCTGTCTTCGGGCTAATCGGGGACCACATGTCGTTGAGTTGTCGCATTTAGTGAGTGTCGGGCGTGCTAAAGGGGTGTTAAGTTCTCGCCGACGCTTGTCATGCGACTCCTGTAGACGCTGGCGATGTGCCTCCCAAGCTGCCATCGCCGCGTCGGAGGTGTTGCCTTGCCTGTGCTCTCCATTGCCACTTTCGACCACTTCTCTAGTGGCCACGCCTAGGTCGGTATCGAGGCGTTGCCTCTTGGTCAGATTGTCGTGGAGGCACCTAGTGACTTTGTCGCACATGCCGCGGACGAGTGGTCCCTCCTGCTGCTCCGTAGGCTCTCTCCCCCTCTTGTGCCCGGCTATTGGGCAGGTCGCCTTTGAAGTCATCGTTGTCATTCGTTCCTCCGTGCTTCCGGTGGCCCATTTCGCCTTGCCGTCACGTCCTCCTCCCTCCCGGACCCCGGCATCCCCGGGGTCCGGGCTGTCTTCCATGGTTCCGCTGTGACGTCACGTGTCTCGATGTCGGGGCGTGGATCCCGCACCTGGGCAGCCGGTCTCAATGTGGGGGCGCTGATTTGCAGCGCCGGATCTGAGGCTCGTCCTAAACGGCGATTTCGCTGGCTGGCGCGCTGCAGAGCGTCCTAAGCGGCGATTTCGCTGGCTGGCGCGCTGGTTTGACTTTTCCTGGTGGGAAGTGAAAAGGAACGTGTGTTCACATTGAGCTCGAGTAAACTGGGGGCTGTTCTGAAGTCACTGAGGAAGCATCATACAATTGTTTCCACTTGTTTATGTTGGATTTTCATGACATATATTGCAAGTGAATTATCTGTATTATAATTAATCTAACATTTCCTACACAAACAGGCCATACTGATAGAATTATATACACAGCTCCTTGCAGGCCTGGGGCTGAGACTATCTCAATTCCCAGCAAACACGGCTTCAAGAATGCAAGGCTGGGCAACACACTCCTTCCAACAACCTCCCCAACCTCAAACCACCACAAGGGCACTGCGCAGAGCAGCAGGCGCATGCTCCTTGGTCATCTCTTCCTTGGTCTTTCCCTCCACACGTTTCCCTCCGCTCCCCTCATCCCCCTCCTCAGCCACATTCTCCTTCCCTGCATCTGAAGCAGCAACAGAGCCCTCAACCTTCCCTGTGTTGCTGGGTTCCTTCACCGGTGCATGTGCGTGTGCATGAGCATCTTTCTTGTGTCTCCCTGCTCGCTCCAGTGTCTCATCAGTCAGGAAGTAGGCTGGGAGGAAAGGGCAGTTCCTGTACCGCTCTCCTTGCCCTGCTGTTGCCTCTGCCAGGAGCCACAGGTACGGGCACAGGCCCGGCGGGAAAGTGCGGATGTCGCTGGCCTTCCGAAGTGCTGAGTTAGGCTCGGTATCGCTCACTCCTCCAATAGAGGTGTAACTGTAACGGCCAACAAGAAATTGTCCGAACAAAAAGGAGACAAATGAGATAATTGAGACGCTAAGGAACGTACAGATCTTGGAAAACTTGGTATGAATTGCCGGGCAGGCTATCCAAGAGTCAGGCAAGTCAAGAATCAGGAGGAACAACAAGAGCATACGGGCAGGGCGGCTAGGGTGGGAGCGGGTTGCGGTCTTGCTGGCCAGCAGGGAACAGAAACATACCCTTCATCGTAGAGCGAGCAGTAGGGCACACGCGTGAGCAGCAGGAACTCCCAGACGTCTCTGTAGGTCCAGTTGAGAATCACGTTCACGCGCATGAAGGGCGGCCACCCGGGCGAGCTCTCTGCGAACACCTGCTGGCCCTTCTGCTCGGATGGACGGTGGAGAGGAAATGGAGAGCACAGCGGAGTGGGGCACAAGAAGTTAGGTAAGAGATTGATACGAAGTTATGCTTACCATAACAGTCAAGAGCGAGGCTAATGATAAAGAAGAATGATGGCGCAAGCAAAGAAGAGGCGAAGCAGAAATCAGGGCCCCAGCGAAGAGCTATAGCTAAGCAGAGGCAGAGGCAGAGGCAGATCGCAGCTTACCCCTTTCGGGTCGTTGATCCGCACGCCAAGGAAGATCGCCTTCACGGGCCTCTTCCGCTGCAGCGCCATCACGCCTTCCTTGAACCCTTCCTTCGTCTGCAGCAGCGCAAGCCCGTACCGCCGCGCCATGTCGAACGTGAACCGATCCACCTCCGCGAAGCTGTCCTTATCGCGGAAGAAGATGGCGCACAGCCCGTCCGCTTCCCCCTCCCACCCGTCGTCGTTTCCCCCCATATTCCCCTCCGCCTCCGCCTCCGCCTCCGCCTCCGCCTTCCCGTCGTCCGTTTCCTCGTCGTCAAACGTGGCGGTCGTCCCCATTTTGAACGACTCGCCACTCTCCTCGTCCCCCGCCTCGGACCGCGAGACGCGCCCCCGCGCTGACGGCGCCAGGAGGCAGTCGGACGAAGACGACAGCGTGTGCGGCGCGAACGGCGCATCGTCGTCGCCGCAGTCGTCGCAGCCGTCGCAGCTGTCGCCGTGGGTCGCGGAGAGGGCGCAGTAACAGGAGGAGCGGAGCTCGGGGTTGGAGCGGCAGCGGTGGAGGTGAGTCGACGGCCAGTTACACGCCATGGCTGCGCGCAGTAGGTGTAATATAACCTGCGTAAGCCAACAAAATGAAAAGGCGGAGACGTTTACGAGAGAACAGAAGGAGGTCGGAAAGGGAGTTGAAAATGAAAGCATAAGGGGAGATGCAGGAACTGAATATCAAGGCGGGGTGACGAAGGCCGCATTGGGAGCAGATCGAGGAGCAATCTGTTGACAGCGGTAGCGAGAAAGTGAGACGAAGAACGAAAGAGCGAAGATGATCAAGAGCGAAAGAGTCGACGAGAGCGCGAAAGAGAAAGAGGAAGCGCGCGGCGGAACCGCATGCTCTCTAAGAGGCGAGGCTCGCGGATCGCCGGACTGCGTAGGCACAGACTCACGATAGAGTCCTTGACGCCGCTGGTGAAGCTTTATATAGGCGCCTAAAAAAGCGTAGGAGGCAGAGACTTACGGTGGAGTCCTTGCCGCCGTTGAAGCTGAAGGCGATCTCGTTGGGCTTGTACTTGGTGAGCGTGCGATGAATGGCGTCCATGGATTCGTCTACTCGCCGCCGAAGCTCCTGGCTCGCGCCATGGTCTATGGCCGAAAGAATCTCCATCTTGTTTCTTCGTGCCTTGGCTTGGCTGTGTCTTGTACTACCTTGTCTTGTCTTGTCTTGTGATGTAACGGCCTGCCTTCTCTTGTACTGTGCGTGACGTTGACAGAACGGGTCAGGACTACCACTTATTTCGTTTTTTTCTCGTTGTTTTGCGTAACAATAGACAGAACTGCTAGAGCAGGCTAGTATGGTAGATCGGAGATGTCGGATCAACGAAAGGCTTGTTGGGAGAAATAACTGAGGGCGATCGGAAGAGAGAGCGTAGAAGTGGACTAGGAACGAGCGGATCAGGTTGGACTTCGAGTGACGATTAGCTTTTACGGATCAGTGACTGTACAACTGGAGGACGATTTCAGAAAGCACTAGGATCTAAATTGGTTGCGCCGGTACGACTCACGGGAGGGTGAGCCGAGATCTTGGAAGGGTGACGGTGAAAGCGACGCTGACCTAGACTAGAATGGCTGAACGGGCTTCAAGGGCAGGTAGCGCAGTCAGGAAGGGAAAAAGCGTGAATGGCGTGGCGAAACGAGTTGAATTGACAGGAAGATATGAACGGAACGACGGCCGGAAAGCACGTAGTTGCGGGTCAAGCGGAGGTGGACAACCGAAAAAGTGCTGTTGTGGGAAGCGTGGGCACGCGATGTGGGATAGTTGGCGTGTGGAAGGGAACGATCTGTGGTTGGGCGTTGCGTTGGCGTTGCCAGATGTTTATGATATGAATCGTCTCACGAGCACACCTACCGCAATAAGCCGTTGGAATGGTGCAGGGCAGAGGTGGTGTCAGCAGAGGCAGGGGAAGGCGAAGGAGCGACGGAAGGAGGTGCGGCTGGCAAAAAGATGCCAGAAGGTGCGGCGGATTGAGGCCGTTCAGACAGAAACGAAGGGCGATCAGCCAATGGGTGGAATTGAACCAACAAACACGGCTTGGCCGTTCATTCGGCGCATCGAGCCGCGCGGCTTGACGGATTGGGTTGGGAATAATCACCGCGTCGCGGATGAGGAAATGCGGAAGGATGTTCAATGGTGGTTGGCAATACGGAAGTTCGTGTTTTTGCGATACAGTCATTTCTGGCCCGATATTCTTTCTTGCTCATGCTGGAGTGGGTGCGAACAAACACTGCAACTCAAGACTTTTCTGGTTGGGTTGTGGAAAGAACTCGATGCTGATTACGTCACAGTGCGACTCCAGTATTGTGTTGCGTTCCTGGAAACTGCCACACATTGGCCAGCAATGCGTGGCGGGCATCCTGGGAGAACGTGCTGCGAGCACGACCGGCGGACGAGATGCATATGGAATCTTTTCAATTTCTGCCCGGGTGACACGTGAAAGTCGAAGGAGGATTGAGCGACACCCACGGGGTGGTGAGTGTGAGGCAAGCATTGCTCGACAAGTCGCGGACAACCTGTCGCCGAGAAACAACCAACCAGCGCCCATATCGTCGCAGAGTCGACAACGCTTGGCTCAGCTCAGCATGGCGAAAGCGCATGCGATTAGTCAACAGTGTACGGCAAGGAATGGTTGGTTTTGGTTACGTTGCGTGCGGGCAGTGGTGAGGCGAAGAGGAATTGGACAACGAGGCAAGTCTAGGGCCTACCGCGACGCAATTTTGAACCCACCGGAATATGCGAATCAAAACTACAGATATCGAATTTATTACCAACCATGTTTCCAGGCGCCTACTCCTCACCTTTTGGTGCGCTGGCACTACGCATGGAAGAAGATTACGTTTACTTCACATTTGGCAGGCGACGCCTGGATTGTTTTGGCGCGCATTCTGTCCCTGCCGTAACTGTCAGTGTTACGAGTGGTGTAGCCTAAAAAAAATCGTTAACAGAGAAATCAGAGATCCACAAAATATCAAATTAGTGTTCCTAAACAGCCATCTGGAGCAAACTTCTATAGGTGGGGGTGTACGGTAGGGAATTCGGCCGGGCCTGGTTTGGTTTGGAGGTAGCACACGAAGGAGGCAGTACAACTTACTAAGGTACAAAAATTTTCTACCAGCAACTGTGTAGATGCCAGTGGTTTGACTCTCTGCATTGGAGTGGCAGGCAGGGGCAAGGTCTGCAACCATGATATTCTGCACAAAAAATAGCACAGCATCAATGTGGATCAGCCAGTGGGAAGATCCCCACAACCAGAACCTCCAATAAATCATATAATCATACGGTACGTCAGCCCCCGGATAGAAGCGCCCCTGGGGTTATAAAAAAACACGTTTTTTCAGGGGGTGGGCTTATAATTGAGGATTTTTATAAGCGCCGGCGCTTATATAATAGCATATATGAAATTCGTCGATTTTACACCAAACTGTAGATCTAGTTCTTGCGAATTGAATCGAGTCGAAACAATACAGGTGTGTGATTCAGAATTTCGCGTGCAAGTTGGCAGGGATTGACTCCCTGCTAACACACACAGTCAGAATGAGTCAGCGTGCGCCCCTGACAGCTCAAGCTGACTGGACGCGCTGGCAGTGAGCCGAGCAAGGGTGAAAGTCATCGAAATTCAAAACGTGGGAATGGAAATGTTGTGTTTCGTTACAAGAATTTCAATAAAATTATATTTAACAAAAAGAGGGTGGCGCTTATAATCCGTAAGCCTTCAGGGGTGCGCTTATAATCGAGGACCGGATATAAGCGCCCTCATTCTTTTATAAGCGCCGGCGCTTATCCGAGGCCTGCGCTTCTATCCGGGGGCTTACGGTACTACTATACAACTCTTTGTATAAAGATGTGTCGCCATCGAGCACGGAAAATATCACGTGCTGGTTTTCACTGCTCTTTGGAGGGCAAATAGCACCTCTTGAGACGATACACCCTCCACAACCACTACCTTCCCTCGGGACTTAGAACCTATTTGCAGACTTACTTGCCTCTTGCGCACTCCCAGCACCTACAGGGGAAGGGGAAATTGCTACCATATAAGAGCTTATGGAATCACAAAAACAATATCATGTTTCTGGCAGAATTCTGTTATTTCCACACTACAATCACCATTCCATCCCCTCATGTGGCCCCATGCCATCCCACATGCCCCCATGCCGTTCCACATGCCCCCATGCCGCTCCACATGCCCCCATGCCGTTCCACATGCCCCCATGCCGCTCCACATGCCCCCATGCGACCCCATATGCCCGCATGCCAACCATATGCCCCCATGCGATCCCACGTGTCTCAATGCGCTCACATCGGCCATGAACTCTAGTAGAGCCGCATTTGCCTCGCCCTCCCGTGCAGGAGCATCAATAACCACCCCCACTGCGTCTCCAGTCAGACCTGCACGCACATGCATGCACCCATGCATGCACACATGCATGCATCAATGCATGCACCCATGCATGCACCCATGCACGCACCCATGCACGCACCCATGCATGCATCCATGCATGCACCCATGCATGCACACATGCAGGCACACATGCATGCACCCATGCACGCACACACAGCAATGCGCAGTGCAATGCACACAGAGTCAAACACAGCAGCAGGTGGACAATCACACTTGTCACATCCAACCCCCATGCTTCACCACTCACCATCTCCTCCTACCATCTCCTATACCTTGCGCTGCCCGCTTCCCCGTTTGCTCCCCGCTCTCACCTCCCACACATCACTCCCCCACTCCCCGCCCTCACTCCCCCCTCTCACTCATCACAGCAGCCTGTTTCGATCCTGGCTTGGCGTGAATCGCAACGGACACAGCACCGCTCGCCGTCACGCGCAGAAAACCCGGAAGCTCCGCGTCCCCTCAGCCACTTCCTCCTTTCGCCGCAGCGTTCCCTCCCCCACCGTCGCCCCCCGCTGGTTGCTTCTTCTTCTTGGCTTTGCTCGCCATGGCCCGAACCCCCGCTGTCGCAGCCCGGAACCCCCACGTCGGGAGAGCGGAACAAGCCCCCACTGTTGCGGTCCGCGATGGGAGAGCGGAACAAGCATCGGTCGCAACAGCGGGAAAAATCGATGGCGGGAGAGTGGAACGAGACCCGATTGCGGGGGCGGAAACGACGGGGAAGGACGGGGAGGATGAGAGGAGCGAGGCTGCGATGGCGCTGCGGGAGAGCGCACACGCGGGGAGAATGGCGGTGACGGAAAGAACTGCGCGCAACTGCATGTTACTGGGTTGGGGAAAGGGAAGGGGTGGGGGAAGATTCGAATAGGCCTGGCGCGCGCGCGCAAGTCAGCACTTCCTGCCGAACAATGACAGCACGTGATCAACTCGCTTTTGGGTACACCCTCTTTGTAAGTGTATCCTGCAAATAGAAACGCAAACCCCAAAGCAGGGAGAGCTGTACCCGTTCCAAAATGGAATTATTGAAAGAATGAATAACTCATGTTATTAGTTGCCAATGGATATCACCTATTTATACAATATAACGTGAGCTCATGCAGTAATCTCCTTACACAGATCGTGCACTACTTGTATTAAATACGCCAACGTTGAAAAAAAAAAGCCCATCCACATACCTCAAAACCACATCCCAGAAAAGCCACCACTACCCTCCTCCAATCTCCTCATCCACCTCTTTGCTGCTCACTCCCGGCCTCTCCTTCTCGACTCCTCATCTTGGCCTTTTTCTTCTTCCCTAAGTTCTTTCCGGTGGCCATGGCTTGCAAGAATGACCCCGTCCAAGCCCACGCACATACTCGTGACCGCGGGTCGTAGGAGGTCAACCTAAGGGCATCTATACGCGCTTTAATCGCTGCCATTGTCACCGCACCGCCCCCTGGTTCCCCTATTCTCTGCTGCTGCTGCTGCTGCTGCTCGGGACACACTAGAGGGACTATCCATGTGCCTTGGGGAATGTTATCAGGCATCCCACCGGGTGCTGCTGCTGCTGCTGCTGCTCCAGGGGATTCTGTGTCACCACCAGCAGCACCATCAGCAGCGGCAAGAGGAGGAGGGGAGCAGGCAGGGGACGGGTGCAGGAACCCCGAGGGGTCGAAAAAACCAACGGATATTGGCTGCGCTGCGGCATTGCGCTTGCACACAAAGGACGGCGAGGAGGAGGAGGAGGAGGCAGACGCAGAAGAACCACTGCCAGAAGCAGCCGCAGCCACAGCCGCAGCATCGTTTGGAGTCCATGAGTCAGCAGCAGGCCCACAGAGCAGCTCAGCAAAGGAGTGAGACGCGGGAGAGGTGGGAGGTGCAGGGGAGGAGGACGAGGAGGAGGAGGGTGGAGGAGAGAGGAGAGCCACCATATCTTCGAAAAGCTCGAGAACACGAGGGAGAGCGCGGGCGAACACGATCCCGCCGGGTCGCCCGTGCCAGTCTGCCGAGCCTAGCGCTGCCCGGGCCTTGCCTGGTCTGGCAGACGCCGATGCTGCTGCTGCTCCTGCTGCTGCGGCTGCTTGTGCCGGAGGTGCCATCCGTTAGCAAGCGGCGGCGGGGGAGTGATGAAGAGGAGGAGGAGGTGGAAGAGGGCAGTGGAGCGAGAGGAGCGAGAGGGGGGTTGAAGAGCAGGCCGTGGTTGGCGGGGAGGGCGTGAAGGGAGGGGTAGGGACTGGCGAGCCAGCCGACGAAGACAGTGTCCAGCCACAGGACGTTGAAGCCCAGGTGCAGTGCTGATGCTATCGCCGTCACCTTCGCCTGTTGGGATGGTATTTTGGGGGTGGGGTGGGGTAGGGGGTGTGGGGCGGGGGAAAGGGTTTTGAGACGTGTGAAATCAAAGACTGTGTCCAGCCACAGGACGTTGAAGCCCAGGTGCAGTGCTGATGCTATCGCCGTCACCTTCGCCTGTTGGGATGGTATTTTGGGGGTGGGGTGGGGTAGGGGGTGTGGGGCGGGGGAAAGGGTTTTGAGACGTGTGAAATCAAAGACTGTGTCCAGCCACAGGACGTTGAAGCCCAGGTGCAGTGCTGATGCTATCGTCGTCACCTTCGCCTGTTGGGATGGTATTTTGGGGGTGGGGTGGGGTAGGGGGTGTGGGGCGGGGGAAAGGGTTTTGAGACGTGTGAAATCAAAGACTGTGTCCAGCCACAGGACGTTGAAGCCCATGTGCAGTGCTGATGCTATTGCCGTCACCTTCGCCTGTGAAGGATGGTTTTGGCAAGGGGTGAAGGTGGGGTGAGGAGGGGAGAAGGGGGGATAGAAGGTGGAAGTGAGAGGGTGGAGGGGGTGTGGTTTAAAAGGGAACTGAAAACACTTGAAACACCTGGAACCGTCATGTGGTCAAGGGGAAAAAGAAAAGAAGGAAAAAATCACCAAAACAACAATGCATGCTTTCACTTGCGCTTTCGCATTATCACGCACCAGCAGGAACCGCGAGAAGCAGGGAGACCCATGAAAGCACTCCCTCGTCCCCTCCACCACACGCTCCCCCTGCGCCGCCCCCGCACCTCCCCCCGCACCTCCCCCCGCACCTCCCCCCGCCGCCCCCTTCCCCGCGCCCACCCTCCCCAGTAGCACCTTCCACATGCCACCCCCACTCCCCCCGCCACCGCCCTTCCCACTATCCGTCTGCTCCGGAGGGAGAAAGTAACCGTCGAGATTCGTGCTCTGGTAAAACACGGCAATGCCTTGAAGGAAGAGGTAGCGGTAGGCTGCGGCGTCGAGTGCAGCGACGACGATGTTGCGCGTGGAGAGGCGGGCAGCACGGCAGACGAAATCAGCGACGACCTCCTTGGAGTCGAAAGTGGCTGCCAGCATGGTGACCGTGCCGCTTGAATCGGCTACCTGATGCGAGGGAGGTTGGGAGGGGAGGGATGGGGACGGATGGGGAGCGGTGGCAAGGGATGAAGTGAGATTAAATTGAATTGAGGCGCCTCAGAAGCACGAAGTCGGCAATGACCTCCTTGGAGTCGAAGGTGGCTGCCAGCATGGTGACCGTGGCCGCTGGAGTCAAGTCAGGTACCTGATGGGAGGAGGGATGGGGAGAGACTGGGTTAAGAGATTGGGTTAAGTTAGACCAGGAATTCAGGAATTGATGCAGGCACCTCAGAAACGCCAAGTCGGCGATGGCCCCCTTGGAGTAAACAGTGGCTGCCAGCATGGTGACCGTTCCACGGGAGTCAAGTCAGGTCAGTTATGTGATGATGGGAGAAGAGATGGGTTGGAAGAACTTGGATTCACTGACTGACTTGAGGCGCCTCACGAAAGAAACCTGGGCTGGTGGTAGAATGGTGAACTCCCACCCACTCACATGCAGCAGCAGCAGCAGCTGTTCTGGCTGATCCTTTCAGCATCCTATCAAACCAAGACAATACCACACATACACCCTGACTCAGCATCCCATCGGAATTTTTCTTCCCATCAGCCCTTCCCTTCCACTCACCTGCGGCAGCAGCTGCTCCAGCAAATGCGGCAGCCCCGCGACCGGCGCAGCGGTATTCAGCGGCATCATCACCGGCAGGTCCGGCTTCCCTTCGGTATTATAGACCCCACAAATGATATTCCTCCCCTGCAGCTTCGGCTCGCTCTGCGTGCGGTGCACAAACGGGGAGCTCTCACAGCGGCACGACCCCGGCTTGACCCGTCGGAGCAACATGAGCAACGGCAGATCCAAACAGCATACCATCAACACCACCTTCCTCTCACCTGCGGCAGCAGCTGCTCCAGCAGGTGAGGCAGCCCAACAACCGGAGAAGCAGTATTCAGCGGCATCATCACCGGCAAATCCGGCTTCCCTTCCGTGTTATACACCCCGCACACGATATTCCTTCCATGCAGCTTCGGCTCGCTCTGCGTTTTGTGCACAAAGGGCGAGCTCTCGCAGCGGCACGACCCCGGCTTGACCCGGCGCAGCAGGCAGAGGTGCGCGGAGGCGGGCTCATCGCAGCGCATGAGCTTCCAGGGCGCGTGCCACGCCATGCCCTCCTGCGACGACCACGAGCCGTGCACATGGGAGAGGTGGATGTTGGCGAAGACCTCCCAGCTGCTGCGCTTGTTGACCGACCAGAAGTTGCCTGCTTTTTCCGGGAGAAGGTTCTGGTCTTGAGGTTGCGGGATAAGGGGGGAGAGAAGGGGGAGGAGGGGGGAGGAAAGAAGGTTGACGTCGAGTAGATTCTGCTATTCTTGAAGTAATGGTCCTGGTGTACAGGTGGTTCACGTGGATGGATGTGAGCGCAAGGAGTCGAGACGTCTCAAAACTCACACAGGCCCCTACACTACACTCCCTCCCTTCCCCACCCCACCATGCCTTTGCCCCATCCTCTGACTCACCCCGCGCTGCATGTGGTGGTACGAGTGGTTCACGTGGATGGACGTGAGAGCGTCACTGGCGTCTATCACCGGTCGCACCCCCGATGAAACTGCCTCGCTCAGCAGCCAGTTGTCGTACCTGCCGTGGCAAGGGGGGGGATGAAGGGGAGCCGAGCAGCCGGTGGGGTTGGTGTGGGGGGTCGGGAGTAAACAGAGCGTCACTGCCGGCCGCATTCTCGACGACACTGCCTCGCTCAACAGCCAGTTGTCGTACCTGCGACACACTGGGTGGTGCAAGGGGGGGAGAGAGGGGTGCACAGGGATGGATAGAGGTAGACCCAGTCCCAGTCAGTCACAGTCAGTCACAGTCAGTCACAGTCAGTCCCACTCCCACTCCCACTCCCACTCCCACTCCCACTCCCAAACTAAAGAGTGCCCCAAATACATTTGCAATGCAGCAGTCCTTGCCTTTCCAGGGTCTCACTCCCTCACCTGCCACGACCAAAGGTGAAGGGCGGGATGGGTTTCGTCGTGAGGCCGATCTGCAGGGGCGGGTTGTTCCACGCCCACAGGTCCAACCCGCCATACGTGTGCAGCACTCCCTCCTCTCTCGCCCACGCCACCACCTCCGCCTTCCCATTCCCATTCCCATTCCCAGTGCAAGTGCAAGTGCAAGTGCCAGTGCAAGTGCAAGTGCTAGTCCCAAGCTGAGGCCCGGGCTCAGCCCCCCTCTCTCTTACGTGTGCAATGCAGCAACTCACTCACTCCCTCCCTCCCTCTCCCTCTCACCCGCCACGACCAAAAGTGAAGGGCGGGATGGGTTTCGTCGTGAGGCCGATCTGCAGGGGCGGGTTGTTCCACGCCCACAGGTCCAACCCGCCATACGTGTGCAGCACTCCCTCCTCTCTCGCCCACGCCACCACCTCCGCATCACTCACCCTCCGCCCGTCCGCCCGCGTCAGCGTCGGAACCCACCCCGCGCCCCCCCCGTCCTCCTCCTCCCCCCCTTCTTCACCCCCTGCCGGCCCTGCGCCCTCCTCCCCGCCCTCCCCTTGCGCCCTATCTGCCGTTTGTGAGGAGGAAGCAGAGGAGGAACCGGAGGATGCGGAGGAGGGTTTGTGGAAGGAGAAGGGGGTGGAGGAGACGTCCCAGCGCATGGCAGTGAGGAGGAAGTACGGGAAGCGCGCCGCCGCCTTGCGCAGCGCCAGCGGAAAATCCTTCAGCAGAATAATATCCGCGTTGATCAGCACAGAAACACTCATCACCCCGCCATCCCCTGCCCCCGCTCCCGCGCCGCTTCCCCCTCCCGCGCGCCCCCCGCCGCCCCTCCCGCCCGCCCCGCGCCCGTCGTCAAACCGGCGACCCAAACCGGGGCCCTCGACTAACCCTCGAGCCACCATGGATTGGAACATGGGCGTGCCCATGAAGTTCCCGTCCACCTGCTCCATCCACACGCGCCCCTCGGGGAACTGCGCCGCAAACGACGTCAGAACCGCGTCAGACGGATCACCGAATAGTACCACGCTAACAGCCACTGTCGGGGATTCTAGCCTAAGCCAGGAGAGGACGGCTTGCTGCTGTAGGCTTCCGGAGGTGAGCTCTTCCGGTTGGGGTTTCGGGGCGGAGAAGAAGGTGAGGGCGAGCGGGCGTTGCAGGGACGCGTCTAGCGCGGCGCCCGCGGCGGCGGCGGAGCGGAACTGGGAGGCTCCGCGCGCGGACGCGGAGCTCGACCATTCCCCCCCGTCCCACGCGCTGTCCGCGGCTAGCCTCTCCGCGGATTGCCTGAACGCCGCCTGCTGCGCCGCCCATTCCGCCTCCGCGCTCCTGGCTTCGGTCCCCGTCCCCGTCCCTGCCCCCGCGCCTGCGCTTTTCCCCCCTCCGCCCCAGGAGAAAACCCCCCACCTGCTGCTGCTTCCCCCGCGCCCTTCCGCGGCTGGTTCTACGCCGCTTCCTGCGCCTACTCCCCCGCCAACCTCCGCTCCTTCCGCGGTCCCCCATTCGAGATCCCTCCCGCCGTACCATCTCCCCAAGCGCGTCCCCGTCAACCCCGCCGGGTCTCACGGCGGCCCTTGCGGCGCCGTCGGCGGCCCACCCGCCGCTATTCACGGTGGGGAGGGCCGTCATATACACCATAACAAGCGCAACCGCGACGAAGATAAGCGCAAAGAACGCGCGCCCGCTGCTGGGGGAAGTGACGCTCCGCGCGAGTCCGACCGCGGAGGGGGAGCGCGGCTGCGGAAACCCGCCGCCAAAACCGCCGCCGCCGCCGCCGCCGCTGCCGCTGCCGCTTCTGGTGGGGGAACCGCCAAACGCGGAATCAATGCCGCCAGTGCTGCTGTTAGCGTAAGACGATCCTGTATGCACGCGGCGCGGGCGCGAGAGGTTGGCGGAGATCCAGGACGCGGGCCCGCGGCAGCCCGGGGAAGGGCCGGGGGGGATGTTGGCGGAGGAACGAGGGGAGGAGGCTCGCGCTGACGCCATTAATACGGATGTGAGTGGTGCGGAGAATCAGGAACCCGCGCGGAGAGTGTGGGGGGTGAATTGAGGCGGTGCGATGAGCGGCTGCGATCAGAGCAGTGAAGAGCCCTCCGGCGCGCCGCGTTTCCGTGGGACAACGAACGCATGGGCATTAGACGACGCTATCCGGCTCAATTGCTCAGAAAAACTACTCCGAGAAAAACGGCGTGTCGACTATTAGCAGCGTGATTCGGAGAAGTCATGGCTTGTACGACTTCTGGAGTAAATTTGAAGTCCTTAAAACCCGCAGGCCAAGTTATTCAAGCTTAGGAAGGTTGGTTGGGAGTGACGACGGTATTCGCCCGCAAGCCAATAGGAGTGTCGAAAATGTTGGCCTAGGTCTTAGAACTCGAGAATAAGCACAGGCGTTTTTGGGACACCCAACCAACATTAGGAAGGATGAGCCAATTTCGGCCTACTTGACCCACGGGTTTTAAGGCTCAAAGGCATTCGAACCGAGCTTGTAGTGATAGAGCAAGGGGCTTCAGTTGGTGCGTACGTGGGTCGGGCGTGGAACACTTGAAATCATGTGGTGCGTTCGTACTGCCCGGGACTTTTATAGGGATACCAGTCTCGCGAATCTTCGCATGCTAGTCGTTAGCCGCTGTTGCTTCAGCCACCTCCAGTTGGTAGGTAGGCGAGACATCAGTGCTGGAGGGTGGAGAGCGGGTGATGAATTGTGCCTGGCCGGTTCACGCCGGCTGCTGTTGGTAGTCTGTTCCGTTCGCGGTTCATGAAGGTGAAGGAAAAGCTCAAAAGTGCACACCATCGTACTAAACCCTTCACAAATCAGAAGTGCAAAAAAAACAAGAGGCGACAAAGTCGTCGTAGGGTTGCGAAGCTTATTGCACAACTACATTCATTATTTCGTACAACTGATCGTAAGCAATATGAAAGTTACAAAAGTTCATGCAGTTTGTAAAATGCTTTGGCGGTGCAGGTAGTATTCGAGCTTGTGACCTCTGGATTGTCAAACAAATTTCAATCGACTGTGCTAAACCAGCCACAGAAAAAGTGAAATAAAATTAAAAAATTACTAATAACCACGCGATGGAATCAAAACAACCTTAGGGTTTGTATCGACCTCTTTTCTGCCTCCCTTTCTTCTCGCCAGTGCACCTAGTTTTTTCCTCCTAGCTAGTCACTCCCGCTAGTCAAGTGTCAAATGTTGTAGTCTATAATGAGGTTTGTCTTAGGGGGTACAAAACTTAGGGTTAGCTATATGTACCCCAACCAACATCAATGCATCATCCATTCTTCATTCTGACATGGTATCAGTTAGGTTAGGATCCTGTGGGATCCCGTTCCGCCGTTCTTCGTTCGTACCACCCGAGCCTGATCCTAGCTCTCGTTCGTCTCCTTCTCGTTGTTACCGAGCCTAGCGCCGAGCCACGCTCTCGTTCGTATCGTTCCAGCTGTTACCGAGCCTAGCATCGAGCCACGCTCTCGTTCGTAGCGTAGCCCGCCCCCCCCGTCGCGTCGCCTTCCCCCCCACTCGAGTCGCGCCCGTCCCTTTCCCCCTGTCGCGTCGCGCTCCCCCCGTCGCGTCGCGTCCGACCCTTTCCCCCCGTCGCGTCGCCCTCCCCTGTCCCCTTCGCGCCTCGCCGCGGCTGCCGCCGTCGCCCGCCCCCTGCGCGCCTCGCCGCGGCCCCGCCGTCGTCGCCCGCCGCTGCGCGCGTCGCCGCTGCGCCCCCTGCCGTCGCCCGCTGCGCGCGCTGCTGGCCCCTGCTGCCGAGCGCGCTGCCGTCGCCCGCCGCTGCGCCCGTTCCCGTTCCCCGCTGCTTAGTCCCCTGTTACCTCCCGCTGTCACGCCCGCTGTGGCGTCCGCTCCTCCCCTGTCCCAGAGTACCGCCGAACCCTAATTTGCCTCTCACCTACTGCTGTCCCCTCCCTCTCCGTTCGCGTTCGTTTTCACTATGGCGACTCAGCGTGTCCTTCGTTTCGACGCTGACGGTAGACCTCTTGATTTTTCCGTCTGGCTTCTTCGTGCTCGCCGTCTGTTAGAGAGTCAGGTCCAGGCAGGCGAGACCCTCTGGGCGCACGCTACTGGTGCCCTACCTGCGCCCCCCGACCCTACGCCTTTAGGACCTGCCCCTGACGACGCCGCTAGAGCCCGCTTTGCCACTCAGCGAGCTGACCAGACGGCTTGGACGTCGCGTGACGCTGCGGCCTGCATCGCGCTCAGCAGCCTCCTCCCTGAGTCTGAGGAGGTTCACTTCACTCAGGTTCGCACCGCTGCTGAGTACCTCACTGCGATTAAGGCCCGCTACTCTACTCCCGCTACTGTCTCTCTTGGCCGCCTGTTCCTCCCGTTCCTGTTTCCTGACCTAGCGTCTTTTGAGCGCTCTGCTGACTTGATCGCTCACCTCCGCTCGCTCGACGCTAGTTACCGCGCTGCTTGCACTGAGGCACAGCTTGCACTGCTTCCTCCCCCTATGGCGATTACTATCTATTTCATCGCCACTAGCCTCCCTGACCGCCTTGCCTCCGTTCGCGACGCGCTTCTGCTGAAGCACCCTAGTGAGCTCACCGTCGAGGTCCTTGAGTCTTCACTCAAGGACGTCGAGAGCAACCTTCGCTCGGTAGCCGCTGCCTCTGGTGCTGTGCCCCCCCCACTCTTCCACGGGTGCACAGTCCCGCAGTTACCCACCTTTACTGCCTCACTTGCCACTGCCGCTACTGACGCGACTGCAGCTGCTGTTACGACTGCGTCGCGGTCCCGCGGTAGGGGTGGCAAGAAAGGCGGTTCTGGTGGTGGTAGTGGAGGTGGAGGCGGAGGTAGTGGAGGTGGCGTTGCGCCTGGCGGCGGTGGAGGTTCAGGGCCTGGAGAGGCGCCTCGTGCAGTGACTGGTGACTCCACTGCGCCTGCTGGTGGTGGCGACGCCCGAGTTCGTCAGTCGCCTCCTGTACTTCCTGCCCCGGTTGGTGGAGCAGCGGCGTGGTACCAGGCTCAGCGTCAGCAGCAGCTTCTGCAGCACCAGCAGCCCCTCTCCTCCCAGCAGCCTCAGCAGCAGCAGCGGCAGCAGCTGGCTCCAGGGTCGGGGCTGCGTCAGACCCAGCGCGGTGCTGCTTACACTCCCTGCACCTACCAGGTTCTGACAGGCACTCGTCGTGGCCACCCTTGTGGCCGGTTTCACCCCCCTGGTCAGTGCTTTGCTCAGCTCACTGACACGGTTCGTTTGGTTTACGGGGTTGGTGCTCCTGCCCCTGACTGGCTGCCTCTTGTTCAGCGTTACGGCTCCGCTCTGTGGGGCATGTCTGCTGAGCAGTTAGTTGATCTCATTGGTACTCCCCATGCTATGTATGCTGTTGTTGACTCTAGTGTTTCTGACTCTGTTTACTCTGGTGTTGTTAGCTTAGGTGCTAGCCTTGCTCAGTTGCCTGTTGCTAGTGTAGGTTCTTGTGTAGACTCTAGTCCAGCGGCTACCTCAGAGGACGGTTCGCTGTCGTTCACGCTGGACTCTGGAGCCTCTCACTGCTTCTTTCGTGACAGCACGACACTTACGCCTCTTCCTGCGCCTGTTTCTGTGGCGCTGGCTGATCCCACTTCGGGACCAGTCACCGCGCGTCACACTACCACCTTGCCGTGTCCGGCTGCTCCTTCTGGGTCTCTCACTGGGTTTCACGTCCCCTCGTTCTCCCGGAACTTGGTGGGCGTGCGACCCCTCGTGAGTCAGCACGTGGGTGTGTGGTTTAGCGGAGAGACTGCGGTGTGTGTTGACGGAGACTCTTACCAGCCGCTGGCCACCTTTACTGCTGAGTCGGGCTTCGGTCTCTACACTCTTCACACTGGCCCGCTGGCTCAGCAGCGACTGCAGCAGCAGCAGCAGCAGCAGCAGCAGCAGCAGCAGCCGCAGTAGCAGCCACAGCCGCCCCTCCTGCCCCCGGCCCCTGTTTTGCCCCCCGTTCGAGTCCTCGCGTCTCACCAGGTTGCTCCGTCCCCCCAGGTAGCTGTGTCTTGTCAGGTTCCTCCGTCTAGTCCGGTCGCTGCGTATTGCTCCTATCGGTCGCTTGCCCACCCCACCGTTTTGTGGCACCACCGGCTGGGGCACCCTTCTCCTCCTCGTCTTCGCGCTATGTCTCGTCAGCGTCTTGTCTTAGGTCTCCCGCGTGTCTTGCCGTCGCTGCTGCCGTCGCTTGCACCACCGTGCGGTCCTTGCGTCGAGGGTAGGCTGCGCGCCACCCCTCACTCCTCCTCCCTTCGTCCGGCCACCGAGCCTTTTGAGACGCTGCACTTGGACGTCTGGGGCCCCTCTCCTCGCCCTGGCCCTGAGCGTGAGCGTTTCTTTTTGGTGGTCGTTGACGACTACTCCCGCTACACCACAGTGTTCCCCCTGGCGAGGAAGTCTGAGGTGACTTCTACGCTGATCAGGTGGTTGCTTACTATCCAGGACACTCGTGGTCGTCGTGTCAGCTGTCTCCACTCCGACCGCGGGGGCGAGTTTCGCTCCGGCATTCTCGCTAGATTCTGTCGCGAACAG